CTATCAGCGATGGCCCTTGTGTGCTCTGTAGCCGAATACTGTTCACCAGTATGGACCAGAAGTAGTCACCACTCGACTGCAAGGATCCATACTCTTTGGTTCTATTCGGTAAAGTCACGTAGGTAAAAATTAAAAATCACGACGTTTCGGCCACAACACAAGTGGCCTTCATCAGGTGAAGAGACTGGACTGTCCAGAGGACAGCGTTGGAGTGAAGACAGCAAGCCCAGGTCGCATCCTTTAAGCTGTGTGAGAGGAAACAAAAAACGCCTTGACAAAGGAATTAGCATAAAATGATGTACTGGACCGGCACGGTGGGGGGGGGGGGGGGGGGTTTACATGATGTTGGTGTGAAGGCAAATAAGCTGCTGTGAAAGTTTGGAATACCACTACTTGAATAAATATACTGTACCATTGAAAATTTGTTTAATGTTTGGTTTTATTTAGAACATCTTTCCAATGATTGCTTAATTTGAAACCATCCTCTCGGTTGAAATTGTGTCTGTGTTTGTAAATCTGAATTGCCTCGTGGACAAATCTCTGATAAAAACCCGTGGGTTTGCTGAGAACCTTGGTATCGGAGAAAACTATATCGTGATCACCCACAGCGTTGTAACAGTGATCAGCTACGGCAGAAGAATTCGTTCTGCCGTGTTTCAAATCTGATTTGTGCTCGCGAATTCGGTCAGAGACATGTCGTTTTGTCTCCCCGATATAGCAGTCACCACAGGTGCAGCTCAGTTTGTAAACCCCGGGGTACTGTAAGTCAGGAACAACATCCTTCACGGATGGGATCAGGTCACGGATTTTGTGTACTGTATTGAACCGGACCAGGATCTTGTGTTTGTTTAGAATTTTGGAGATCTTTTTAGTAACGCCTGCTATATATGGTAGTGTGATGGTTTTCACCGGAGCATCAAGTGGTAGTTTCTGTATGGAGGGAGAAACAGCTTGGCGGATGGTACGGTCAGAGTATCCGTTTCTCTTGAGGGCCAGGTGTACATGTTTTAATTCACTGGTCAGGTGGTGTTGGTCCGAAATGCAATGTGCCCTGTGGTATAACGTTTTGATGAGAGAATTCTTTTGAGCTGGGTGGTGGTGGGTTTCACGTTTCAAGTAGGAATCTGTGTGGGTGGGTTTCCTGTAGACAGAATGCCCCAGTGATCCATCAGGTGTCCTCTCAAACAGAACATCCAAGAATGGTAGCTTGCCATCTTTCTCCACTTCCATGGTGAATTTGATGGCGGGATGTCTAGAATTGATGTGGTGTTGGAAAAGGTTCAAAGCTGGGAGGCCATGTGGCCAAATGACGAAAGTGTCATCCACTGAATTATAACAGATCACTGTTATTATAACAGATCACTGTTATAATTCAGTGGGCTCACATGACATTGACTTCTCCAAGACGGAGGTTCTTTGCAAACCAACCGGCTACCATGAGAGATTCGTTCATGAGGCCATTCACATATACAAGCACAGAGACAATTTCAACCGAGAAGATGGATTCTGGCTTAGTAACCATTGGAAAGATGTTTTAAACCATTTCCGTTCTTAATTAATTGTATTTTACGATGACCTTCAGACCGCAGCTCTTTCGCTGGCATTGACTCTTAAATACCTCTCACACCACGGTTAATGGTATGGTTTACAACATGGAGTATAACAGCGCCTCGCAGCTGTCTCTCTCCCCCTCCTCTGTTCCGACCATGGATGAACTCGTCCGTCTGAACGGGGCCCGTAGCTATCCGTGTTGCTAAAGTTGAGGGTAAGAATCCACCCATTTTTTCGCCATATAGCATTGTGATATATAACGACTTATTGTTGGTAGCTTAGCTGATTGGAGAATATATAGAGTTTATTGATAACATTGAGGTAATTTATATTTTAGTTTTTTATTGGTTCACTATGTAGTATTCATTATATATTGTAGTGTATACCCAGTTACTGTGAATAGCTCGGATGTGTAGGCCTTGACTTCAACATAGCCATTTCTGTGACCAGTCACAAGCTAATCACTCAGTTATTTCAATGCTAAATTCGCCTAGTTATTTCAATGCTAAATTCTCCTGTTTGATTTGTACTAGGTGCCTCCGTGAATGTGTATGCTCTGACTTTAACATAGCTATTTCTGTGAGCAGTTACAAGCTAATCACTCAGCTATTTCAATGCTAAATTCTATGCTAATTCCTTTGTCAAGGGGTGCCTCTGCGGATGTGTATGCTTAACCTTAGTAATTTCAATGCTAAATTCTATGCCAATTCTTTTATCAAGGGGTGCCTCTGCGGATGTGTATACTTTAACTTTAACATAGCCATTTCTGTGACCAGTCACAAGCTAATCACTCAGCTATTTCAATGCTAAATTCTATGCTAATTCCTTTGTCAAGGCGCTTTGTTTCCTCTCACACAGCTTAAAGGTCGCGATCTGAGCGTGGCTTTTTCACTCCAGCGCTGTCCTCCGATGTGTGACGATGGGGGGGGGGAGGGGGTGAGAAATGTGACGTCACATCAAAATGCGCAACTTTAAATGAATATAGACAACACGTTCTACTTACATTCTTGGTTCTTTCGGTAAAGTCACGTAGAAGGGAAACAATAAAATAAGAAAACAATAAAATTCTCACGACGTTTCTACTTAATAAAATAGACTTTTTTAAATAAATGTTTTCTCCTACAACATCAGAGTGCAGCGCCACATTAAATACGCACAACAACAGGGGTGTCCAAACTCTTTTTCTCGAGGGCCACATACAGAAAAATATACGAAGGACTGGGCCACTCACTAGACGTGAGGTATACTGCCTCACTTCTCATGCACTAATATTGGCAAAATCAATCAAATGCAGAGACAAGAAGAGAAATAGGGGATGTGGATATTTCAAGCTTATTACACAAATAAATTATTGGGCTTGTTAACACATCAACTAACGTTTGTTAAAAAATGATCAACTTTAATGGACTGAATTTATAAAGTAATTGGGCTAATTAACAAATGAAAACTGCGTGTATATTTTGAACTCACCTGTAATGGGAAGAATGTTGCGCTCAGTGGGAGCTGTGATGCTGCGCTTTGGTGTGAAGGATAGCTGGCAGGTCAGGAGTAAGTTTGGTGGTTGAGATGCGAAGGACGTCACGGAGATGGCTGTCGGTCGTTCTGGTTCTCAGTCTGCTTTTGTTCAGCGTTAACAGAGAGAATGTCTGCTCACAGATGTATGTTGAGCCGAACAGACTCATCATTCGTTTTGCATGGCGTCTCATCAGAGGCCTTTTCCAAGCTCCGGTAGAAGTCAGGTAGGGAGAGAAGCTGATGCTGATTCTTCAGAGAAACATCACACTGAATTTCGATCAGTTCTAATTGCAGACTCTCCTCCACTTCTTTTGCATCCATTGAAAACGGAGCCGCAAACAGTGTGATTTCCTTCTCAATGACAGAAAAATCTTGGAAGCGCTGACTGAATTCTGTCATGAGAGATGTGATCACAGACACATATTCTCCCATTTTTGTGCTTTTGATTTCGGTCAGCGTGGGGAAGTGCGCTACATTGAAGTTGCGCAGTTGAGACTCGAAGAGACGGAGCTTCGCACGGAATGCTTTCATGTGCGCATACAGCTGTGGTACCAGCTGCTCTTTGCCTTGTAGTCTCTTGTTCAGGGTGTTGAGATGATCAGTGAGATCAACTAAAAAAGCCAGGTCTGCCAACCATAAAGGGTCACTGATCTCATGGAGAGGTCTGCCCTTTTCTTTAAAAAAACTTGTCGATATTTGATCTCAGGGAATAAAACCGCTGCAGCACGGAGGCGCGACTGAGCCAGCGCACTTCAGAATGGTAGAGTAGGTCCCCGTATTCAGCATCGACATCAGAGAGGAACGCCAAGCTGGATTATCTTGGCACAGAGGGCTTCTTGGTGGATGATACAGTGCATTTTGACAGCCTCACGTCCACTCTCCCGCACCTTGGCACTCACCATAGAGGCCGTTCCTTTGCGCCCGCCTGTCATTGCTGGAGCCCCATCTGTTGTAATTCCACACAGCTTGTCCCATTTGAGTCCAGCCTGGTCAATTGCATCTGACACAGCTTCAAACATGTCCTTCCCAGTTGTTGTCCCCTTTAGACTCCGAAGATCGAGGAGTTCCTCCGTAATGCAAAAATAATCATCAACTCCCAGCAAAAAAATTAACAGCTGTGCAGTGCCCGTGGCATCTGTGCTCTCATCACATGCAATCGAGTAAAAATCGAAAGCACAAGCTTTATCTGACACTTGCTGTTTAAAGTCCTCAATTCGCCGCGCAACCGTATTTATGGACATACTTACATCGTTGAAATCCTGCATTTTCTCCGGGCAAATTATTCCCACGACTTTGGTGAGGCACTGTTTAAAGAAATCACCGTCTGAGAAAGGTTTCCCATGTAGGGCAATGAGTTGAGTTACTTCATAACTGGGTATTGTTGCATTTTCTTGAGCTTTGTTAGCACGGAAAAAAAAACCTGCTGCTACATTAACAGGCTAGCTGCCATTTGCTTTACCTTCTTCCACTCGGCGCCAGTGTAGGACGTGAAGGTCTGATGTTTTGTTTCATAATGCCGTCGTACATTGTACTCTTTCATCACGGCAACACTCTCATTACAAATCAAACAAACACACTTCCCCTTGGTTTCTATGCAATCTTGCGTCTCTTCGGTTCCGGCATTTTCTGGTGACCCTGAGCAAATGTTTTTCTTCGATTGCTTGCTTTGTGGAGATGTTGCCTTGTTCAAGACAATAGCGCCACCTCGTGTTTAAACTAAGAAGTGCAATACCGTGAGCCATATTCCATTATATGTTTAGACTTTGATACGGGCCAATTAAAAATGGATGGCGGGCCGCAGTTGGCCCGCGGGCCGTAGTTTGGACACCCCTGCACTACAATGACAATCGCTTCTATCGATTTGAAGCATGTTTTATTTTTTGGGAGGGTGGGGGGGGCAGAGCTTTGTGACGTCATATTTGAGGGGGGTCTGACTTTTTGTCACGCCGTGTGACGAAGGGGGGGGGGCAAAAATAGTCCACAAGGAGAAGCACATTAAATGAGACTACAAATTTGATGAATTCACAAGCGACACATTAGGGGGCCATCCACTTAGTACGTACGCATGGAGGGGGGAGTGGGGGGGGTTAACCCAAATGCGTACCCTTGCGTATGGGGGGTCTACTGACAATGTGCGTACACATAGGTAACGAAGGGAGGAGGTGAAGCCTCGATAATAATTTGTCTACATTGGCCTTCAAATGAGCCACAGTTCAGTGTCTTCAGCTGTCACACAACAAGTACTAGCGGGAGAAGCGGGCCTGTGGGAGAGGTGCCACACTTTGTGTACCACCTGACTGCTCCGCTATCTATCACGCAGCTCAGCAAAATAAGTGGCTAAGGTACACAACTTAATTCTTTAATACAGCCGGCGGTGGACTATCTGTTTGCTTAAACGCGTTAATGTTATTAATCCTTGATCGTTGCTGCGTGGATTAATCATCGGCCGTTCTATCGGATTCGGGTGGAGGGGGGTGCGTCAGGCGTACGTACGCAGGTTGGAGGGGGGGTGTAAAAAGTACGCGTGGGTACAGGTAGGGGGGGAGGGGCTAAGTTTTGACAGATTTGTGCGTACGTGTTAAATAGAAAGACCCATATTTGTCAAATTAAATATAAGCGAGGTAAATGCAATTGTTATTACCTGATCCAAAGCCTGGATTTCCTTAAATCCCCCCCTCCCGCTCTCAACTGCCGAATGGACGCGTCTACTCGCCTGGCTCCGCCCACTCGCCTAGCTCCGCCCACTCGCCTGGCTCCGCCCACTCGCCGGTAGTGACGTCACACACATCGAGGCGGTCTGGTGAGGTTGACGCTCCACGTTTAAGCTCCCGACAACAACGCTAAGTTTTAGCTCCAGGATATTCACTGAGCTCCACTTACTACAGCTGCTTCGCCATGGAGTTCAAGTTCTTCAAACTGCTCCTGCCGCTACTGCTGCTGCTTCTTGCGGGGTTCCATCCTTCGGCTGCAAAGCCCGTGATGTCCAAAAACAGCATCAGTGCGCCCGAGGGTAAGAGGGATAAATAGGGATCCATAGGAATTCCACCAGGAGATCCACTGGGCTCCACTAGGGCTTTACACGTGCGCTGGTGATATTAGTGGCACTGTTGGTGGATGTGGGCAGCAGTGACGCAGTGGTTAGCACGCTGTGATACGAACCCAGCAACCCAAGTTTGATTTCTACTCACGGCCAACACCAGTGATGATTATCCGAACCGTTCATGGTCCTCCCCGAAGTCGACTCAACCTCGCATGGTGACTGTACCTGGTGTGGTGTGCAAACATTGTCGCTGGGGAGACAAGGGTTGTCGGGCATGGTGCTGACCACCCACCCCCTCGTGTACAGTGTTGGCCTTCATAGTTGCTTGCTTACAGCACTTGCCTCAACAATTTGTTAAGGCTATAGGAGGGGTCTTTGTTGGTGGATGTTGTGATGCAGGAGATGGTGTTGAAGGCAATGCTTTGTGGTTGCCTTGTAGTCATCGTGGTTGGCTTGTGGCGATTGGGATGGTGTTGATGTCCTGGTGGTTGTTTCAATTATGTGTTGTGTTGGTAGTAGTGGTTGTGATGCGATAGTAGCAATGTTGATGCTGGTAAATACGAACGTAAATTTAGGTCCTTCAAATTGGTAAAACATAACCCTGTTTCACAAAGTTTCCAAGTCACGTGTGCATCTCCTGAACCTACAAATTATAAGAATCAGAATATTTATGTATACTGGATGAATCCAATGAGCTATACAGCTGTTTTTCACAGATCTCCAGTTTGGGGGAGGTCAGGACGTTACAACAACAAACAATACAAAAACACGATAGTGCAGAGTATAGGAAATATAACAATTCATTTATAAATATATACAAATAAAACCATTTTTGTTACCTTATCTTGGCAAACAGCACGTGTAACCTCGTGGTCATTTTAGATCCTCATGCTTTTATTCACCGACCAAATGTCGCAAGTCAAAAAGACATTCTACCGATGCCAGTGTTTCATTGCTCGCATATGGAATATTCTGAGACTCTCATCCATGCCTTCATTATTTCTCTGTTGGACTACATTTCAACTCGCTCCCCTTACGGTTTCCCTGCTGTGGTCATTTCAAGGTTCAAAACGGTCCAGAATTCTGCTGCGAGGCTCTTGGGCCGTACTCCGAAAGCCTTTTGTGTGCAGAGGCTTCGGTGCAATCAGTGCTAGTGAAAGGTTTGGTGTCATACACATAGGATGGGTGTGTGATGATTTTCCCATCGTCACACGTTGGTTCCGGTGGTCGGTCGTTCAGGAGTGGAGCCGGCGATGGGAATGTCCGGCTGGATCCAGCGGATGCGCGGCGTGAAAATGACGACAGCTCCCCCTCGGACCAGCGCGACTGCAACCCCTCAAGCACCCGACATTGTCCACAAATCTTCAGGTAATTATCTCATGATTATTATCCCTCTAGCGGTGTCTAGCCTTAACTCCAAACCCTATGCGTAATGCTAAACCTAACCCTAACTGTAAACCCAAACTTTGTAACTAGCGATTGAAAAAGGAATGGCTTCACCCTTTCTGGAAATAATATAGGAGGTGTTTAGATTTTCCCACACCAAATACATGCCTATTGGAAGGCATCGACTCCGCATTAACCACAAATGTTCGTGGTAAATCATGCAAACAAACATGCTTCGAAAATGAATGTATTGTCCTTGAGACTAATTGACCTCCACCAGAGACAGCCTCCTTTATGGCCTTGTCTCACCAGTGTTAGACTAGAGAATGCAAAAAGGCTAACAACACGAAACGAATACACATATTAAAGCATTAATAACTGAGGTTGAACAGTTATATCACTGTCCCTAACCCTTACTAATTAGGAATGTGAGTCACCCCTGTTGATATTTTGCTGGAGATAACTTAATGAATGTTTGCTCTCCCTTGTGTGTGGACGCAGTCTACAAGACGGTTACGTTGTCCGTCCTAAGTTCCATTGGGCTGATCACCCTGTGTGTTGGTGCAAGGCTTCTATACTGGCGTTACGTGAGGTGAGTGTGATGATGATGAGGGTAAATGCAGGGTCCAGGGAGCACATGTTTCTTAAAATCAACCGCTCTTTGCCATTGGTTCCATTTAAACCGCCTCCCTTCCATGTAAAACACTGCGTATGTTCTTTGTAAAAATATAATTGTAGAATGTTTGGAGTCAAGGGTAAGCCCTTCATCTTAAAGTGACTTGAAGAAAAACGAAAAACAAACAGCTCTTATCTTGTAGCTTCATAACTAATCAGCGAGTCCTTGGCAGTTTAGCACCCGTTTTATTTGATGGTACGATGAACTTCTGTAAAATGAGTATCATGTTTTAAAATGAATAATGCATCCGAAATCACATTCTTGCAAGGCAGCATCACCCCATGTTAGACAATGGTCCATGGAAACATATCACACAATTACTGAACTCACTTCAGGTGGCCTCTCATGTACACCACGGGGCAACAATTCCCCCATCCGCTTTCACAGAGTAACGTCCACCACACAACTCTCAGAGCTCGGATTTAACTGAAATCAATGCACTCCTCAGCAGTAAAAAAAATCTCAGCAGTGCCGGTTCACATGAACATATCTCTACACCAACCAGCCACCAGCAAGCAGTGATGAATAACTAATTAAAGAAGCTTCAAATGCATGTGAAGCTTTGTGAGACAATGTCTATGTGTGTGTGTAGTAGGAGCTAGGATAGGGGTCGGCAACCTGTGACTCCAGAGTAGCGTGCGGCTCTTTAAGGGTTGCTTCGTGACGTTTTTTTATTTATTAAGGACTGTCTGGTATTCACCACAGTGCATTACGGCTGTTGAAATATTGAGGGGTTTTTTTTTACCGAATAAAAAAAATGGTTCTTGTTATTTCGATCGCCAACCCCTGATGTAGGAAGATACGAGCACTGTGCAGGAGTATAGGAACCCATGATGAACACTGTACAAGCCACGTGCACTGCATCCTAGCAAGGCAACCTTTCATGTCTAAACAATTTTCTTCCGCTTCTCTTTTGCACTTTTTGTGGTAGCCTTTCAGCACAGCCTGCAGATGATGGTGGCGAAGCCAATGTCATGAACAGTGATGAAGAAGACGTGCCACCATCACTCTGGAGCGATATCTCACGAGTCCTCACGGCAATTCGCCAATACATAATGCCGCAGCCAAGGGCCGTGGATGAAGAAGGTGAAGACGTTGCACCAGGCGGGTGGTTTATGGAGATTCTAACTACCTTGGTGCAAAGCTTGAAGCCTGAGCCAGGGACCAGCAGCAGCACAGATGGCAATGGTGATGCCCACAAAAAGTCGCACCATAAGGCGAAGAACCTGAAGACAGGTGAGAGAAGTGTGTGTGTCTGTGTGCATCTACCAGTCATCTCGCACCTCCGATTAGCATGGCTGGCTATGTGTGGTACAAAGAAGTTCAACGTACCTTCATCTCAGACAAACTGTGGCACCTGGATCTGTTCCATGACCTCCTGCCAGCGAGCCTTCGACATTTCACTTGGCCTCAAAGTGCACGTAGCATGGCACACGTGCCGTAGTGACTTCACTGCCACTTGGTCGCAAACGGGAGTTGTGTTTTACACGTTGCCTTCATGATGGTATACCACTCGTAAAACAGTCGTAAGACTGGGCCAGAGCCTGTGGCTCTTACTTCACCAATATAATTTGACGTAAAGCAGATATCGGTCCATTGATGCTTTTTCTGATAACTGATTCATTCCAATTACTCACCATTGTTAAGTTGTTTCCCTTCACGTGATCTGTCTCCTTGCAGGCAAAAAGAAGGAAAAGTTCAAGAAATTCCTGGCAAATAAGAGAACGCAAGTGAAGAAACTGCACAGCAAATTCAAGGCGACTTTCAAGAAGAAAATGCAAAAATTAAAATTTAGGAGGAAGCGCAAATAGTCGTGGACAGCGACTACCCTTCCTTGACAACCCCTCCCCGCTCCTCCTCTTCACTCCGAACATTTATGAATTAACATGATCACATCTCTCGTCATATCGTATTGCCTGCTCCCTTCTTCAACCCTTCACAAAGTTTAATGATCCCTCGTTTAGCCCATAACAGATTGTTTGGGCAAGGCCAGCATAGTGGTCACACCCGGCTGCCTTTGTTTCCCGAGTGACGATCTTTTTGCATTCACCATGTCCTCATTTGAGTTTGAGTCAACCCACAGGAGACCCACCTGTTTTGTTACCAGAACAAAGGGGAAAACACATTTTCATACTTCAACCCACATGCACACATATAACACAGAGATCCCCTGTATAGCCTTAACAGACTGTTCAGGCAAGTGCTGTTAGCGCCGGTCCCCGACCACCTCTCCTGCCTGTCCCGCGCCCTGTGGGCATTTCTACTTGGTGGCCTGGCTGCCGGCGGTTGCCCACCGGGCATCGCCGGCACCGAGCGACTTCCGCGCCATCCCTCGAAACCGTTGGGCCGCTCCGTCACCCGCGTCTGGCGGCTCCTTTTCCGGGCCACTTGGCTGCCAAGGCATCGGCAGCCCCGGGACATCGGGGCTTTGTGCGGTCCGAAGGATGGAAGGTCGAGCTCCGGGCCAGGGGAGTCTTCACCATATCAGCATGCCGGGCACGGAGGGAAGCTTCGCGTCCGTGGAAAACAAGCCGGGCCGAGGCTGCGGGTTCTTCCTTGTCGCGGGCCCCGGCCGGGACTCCACTGCTGCACTGCGTGGACATTGCGGAACTCGTCGGTGGTGCGGGGGACTCCATCGCCGTGGGCCCCTTCTCCCTCCTGGCTCCAGCCCCTCGCCCTGCCCCCCTTTGTCTTTCCAATGCAATTTTGCCCAACTACCTTTCAATGTATATTTTCAAATTATTGTTATGCTAGGTACAATTGTATAATTGCTGTACAGCGCCTTGTTAAAGGCACTATGTAAATATCATTAAGATAAGATGCACACTTGCGCAAATGCTGATATACATGTAACATAAAAAAAACTAATTTTATTTGCAATGTATTTACAATGTCTTGTTGCTTCTGTTGAACAATGCAATATTCACATGTACATATATGATTCTGCAGCTTCACACGTGGTCACTCCTGCGAATGATCTGTTTAATTCCCAGCCAGGTCCGTCAACCCAGGCTTGGCTCAGAGCTCACATCCTCCTCCTCACTCGAGCTTTTTTTTACTGCTTGTAGTGCATTGCGCATTGGGATCCTAGGATGGAATGCGCATTATAAATTTTAATTATTTTTTTTGATTGGAGGAATTTGATGAGATACGAAGCTCTTTTTCACATGTCCAGTAGGGGTGGGTCAAGGCCCTGGTTTCAATACTGGTAATAGAAAACAGCACTTGAGTTTGTACTTCCTACCTTGGGGCCACTTCGCCTCACCCCTGATTTCTGAGTCGAGTGGCCCATCACTACGATGCTGAATTGACACCAAGTGCTCTGATGCTCAATGTTGGCCTCACTCAAGCTATTGGGGCTAACAATCCACCACCCTGGATATTCCATTCCAAATAGTAATTTGGGGTTGACAATCCAAGGTTCAATTATTTGTTAAATATTGCCTTGAATGATTTCCGCTCCTCGTGGCTGCAAGTCTAATACCCGTATGACTCGTTTCCATGCGTCAGCAATATCACCCTCCATGGTCATTCCACTGCTGGATAAAGACCTCCCTAAGCCATATTAATATTTCATGATCCCCACCGGAGGGCCACTAGAGTGAAGCTGGACCGTACGCTAACATTCCATGACAACCTCAAAAAGGTAGCCTCCAAGACCACAACAAGGGTCAACCTGGTCCAGAAACTGCCAAGCACACGCTGGGCAGCATCAGCACCAGTGCTGCGGACTATCAGCGATGGCCCTTGTGTGCTCTGTAGCCGAATACTGTTCACCAGTATGGACCAGAAGTAGTCACCACTCGACTGCAAGGATCCATACTCTTTGGTTCTATTCGGTAAAGTCACGTAGGTAAAAATTAAAAATCACGACGTTTCGGCCACAACACAAGTGGCCTTCATCAGGTGAAGAGACTGGACTGTCCAGAGGACAGCGTTGGAGTGAAGACAGCAAGCCCAGGTCGCATCCTTTAAGCTGTGTGAGAGGAAACAAAAAACGCCTTGACAAAGGAATTAGCATAAAATGATGTACTGGACCGGCACGGTGGGGGGGGGGGGGGGGCAGCTTACATGATGTTGGTGTGAAGGCAAATAAGCTGCTGTGAAAGTTTGGAATACCACTACTTGAATAAATATACTGTACCATTGAAAATTTGTTTAATGTTTGGTTTTATTTAGAACATCTTTCCAATGATTGCTTAATTTGAAACCATCCTCTCGGTTGAAATTGTGTCTGTGTTTGTAAATCTGAATTGCCTCGTGGACAAATCTCTGATAAAAACCCGTGGGTTTGCTGAGAACCTTGGTATCGGAGAAAACTATATCGTGATCACCCACAGCGTTGTAACAGTGATCAGCTACGGCAGAAGAATTCGTTCTGCCGTGTTTCAAATCTGATTTGTGCTCGCGAATTCGGTCAGAGACATGTCGTTTTGTCTCCCCGATATAGCAGTCACCACAGGTGCAGCTCAGTTTGTAAACCCCGGGGTACTGTAAGTCAGGAACAACATCCTTCACGGATGGGATCAGGTCACGGATTTTGTGTACTGTATTGAACCGGACCAGGATCTTGTGTTTGTTTAGAATTTTGGAGATCTTTTTAGTAACGCCTGCTATATATGGTAGTGTGATGGTTTTCACCGGAGCATCAAGTGGTAGTTTCTGTATGGAGGGAGAAACAGCTTGGCGGATGGTACGGTCAGAGTATCCGTTTCTCTTGAGGGCCAGGTGTACATGTTTTAATTCACTGGTCAGGTGGTGTTGGTCCGAAATGCAATGTGCCCTGTGGTATAACGTTTTGATGAGAGAATTCTTTTGAGCTGGGTGGTGGTGGGTTTCACGTTTCAAGTAGGAATCTGTGTGGGTGGGTTTCCTGTAGACAGAATGCCCCAGTGATCCATCAGGTGTCCTCTCAAACAGAACATCCAAGAATGGTAGCTTGCCATCTTTCTCCACTTCCATGGTGAATTTGATGGCGGGATGTCTAGAATTGATGTGGTGTTGGAAAAGGTTCAAAGCTGGGAGGCCATGTGGCCAAATGACGAAAGTGTCATCCACTGAATTATAACAGATCACTGTTATTATAACAGATCACTGTTATAATTCAGTGGGCTCACATGACATTGACTTCTCCAAGACGGAGGTTCTTTGCAAACCAACCGGCTACCATGAGAGATTCGTTCATGAGGCCATTCACATATACAAGCACAGAGACAATTTCAACCGAGAAGATGGATTCTGGCTTAGTAACCATTGGAAAGATGTTTTAAACCATTTCCGTTCTTAATTAATTGTATTTTACGATGACCTTCAGACCGCAGCTCTTTCGCTGGCATTGACTCTTAAATACCTCTCACACCACGGTTAATGGTATGGTTTACAACATGGAGTATAACAGCGCCTCGCAGCTGTCTCTCTCCCCCTCCTCTGTTCCGACCATGGATGAACTCGTCCGTCTGAACGGGGCCCGTAGCTATCCGTGTTGCTAAAGTTGAGGGTAAGAATCCACCCATTTTTTCGCCATATAGCATTGTGATATATAACGACTTATTGTTGGTAGCTTAGCTGATTGGAGAATATATAGAGTTTATTGATAACATTGAGGTAATTTATATTTTAGTTTTTTATTGGTTCACTATGTAGTATTCATTATATATTGTAGTGTATACCCAGTTACTGTGAATAGCTCGGATGTGTAGGCCTTGACTTCAACATAGCCATTTCTGTGACCAGTCACAAGCTAATCACTCAGTTATTTCAATGCTAAATTCGCCTAGTTATTTCAATGCTAAATTCTCCTGTTTGATTTGTACTAGGTGCCTCCGTGAATGTGTATGCTCTGACTTTAACATAGCTATTTCTGTGAGCAGTTACAAGCTAATCACTCAGCTATTTCAATGCTAAATTCTATGCTAATTCCTTTGTCAAGGGGTGCCTCTGCGGATGTGTATGCTTAACCTTAGTAATTTCAATGCTAAATTCTATGCCAATTCTTTTATCAAGGGGTGCCTCTGCGGATGTGTATACTTTAACTTTAACATAGCCATTTCTGTGACCAGTCACAAGCTAATCACTCAGCTATTTCAATGCTAAATTCTATGCTAATTCCTTTGTCAAGGCGCTTTGTTTCCTCTCACACAGCTTAAAGGTCGCGATCTGAGCGTGGCTTTTTCACTCCAGCGCTGTCCTCCGATGTGTGACGATGGGGGGGGGGGGGGGGGGGTGAGAAATGTGACGTCACATCAAAATGCGCAACTTTAAATGAATATAGACAACACGTTCTACTTACATTCTTGGTTCTTTCGGTAAAGTCACGTAGAAGGGAAACAATAAAATAAGAAAACAATAAAATTCTCACGACGTTTCTACTTAATAAAATAGACTTTTTTAAATAAATGTTTTCTCCTACAACATCAGAGTGCAGCGCCACATTAAATACGCACAACAACAGGGGTGTCCAAACTCTTTTTCTCGAGGGCCACATACAGAAAAATATACGAAGGACTGGGCCACTCACTAGACGTGAGGTATACTGCCTCACTTCTCATGCACTAATATTGGCAAAATCAATCAAATGCAGAGACAAGAAGAGAAATAGGGGATGTGGATATTTCAAGCTTATTACACAAATAAATTATTGGGCTTGTTAACACATCAACTAACGTTTGTTAAAAAATGATCAACTTTAATGGACTGAATTTATAAAGTAATTGGGCTAATTAACAAATGAAAACTGCGTGTATATTTTGAACTCACCTGTAATGGGAAGAATGTTGCGCTCAGTGGGAGCTGTGATGCTGCGCTTTGGTGTGAAGGATAGCTGGCAGGTCAGGAGTAAGTTTGGTGGTTGAGATGCGAAGGACGTCACGGAGATGGCTGTCGGTCGTTCTGGTTCTCAGTCTGCTTTTGTTCAGCGTTAACAGAGAGAATGTCTGCTCACAGATGTATGTTGAGCCGAACAGACTCATCATTCGTTTTGCATGGCGTCTCATCAGAGGCCTTTTCCAAGCTCCGGTAGAAGTCAGGTAGGGAGAGAAGCTGATGCTGATTCTTCAGAGAAACATCACACTGAATTTCGATCAGTTCTAATTGCAGACTCTCCTCCACTTCTTTTGCATCCATTGAAAACGGAGCCGCAAACAGTGTGATTTCCTTCTCAATGACAGAAAAATCTTGGAAGCGCTGACTGAATTCTGTCATGAGAGATGTGATCACAGACACATATTCTCCCATTTTTGTGCTTTTGATTTCGGTCAGCGTGGGGAAGTGCGCTACATTGAAGTTGCGCAGTTGAGACTCGAAGAGACGGAGCTTCGCACGGAATGCTTTCATGTGCGCATACAGCTGTGGTACCAGCTGCTCTTTGCCTTGTAGTCTCTTGTTCAGGGTGTTGAGATGATCAGTGAGATCAACTAAAAAAGCCAGGTCTGCCAACCATAAAGGGTCACTGATCTCATGGAGAGGTCTGCCCTTTTCTTTAAAAAAACTTGTCGATATTTGATCTCAGGGAATAAAACCGCTGCAGCACGGAGGCGCGACTGAGCCAGCGCACTTCAGAATGGTAGAGTAGGTCCCCGTATTCAGCATCGACATCAGAGAGGAACGCCAAGCTGGATTATCTTGGCACAGAGGGCTTCTTGGTGGATGATACAGTGCATTTTGACAGCCTCACGTCCACTCTCCCGCACCTTGGCACTCACCATAGAGGCCGTTCCTTTGCGCCCGCCTGTCATTGCTGGAGCCCCATCCGTTGTAATTCCACACAGCTTGTCCCATTTGAGTCCAGCCTGGTCAATTGCATCTGACACAGCTTCAAACATGTCCTTCCCAGTTGTTGTCCCCTTTAGACTCCGAAGATCGAGGAGTTCCTCCGTAATGCAAAAATAATCATCAACTCCCAGCAAAAAAATTAACAGCTGTGCAGTGCCCGTGGCATCTGTGCTCTCATCACATGCAATCGAGTAAAAATCGAAAGCACAAGCTTTATCTGACACTTGCTGTTTAAAGTCCTCAATTCGCCGCGCAACCGTATTTATGGACATACTTACATCGTTGAAATCCTGCATTTTCTCCGGGCAAATTATTCCCACGACTTTGGTGAGGCACTGTTTAAAGAAATCACCGTCTGAGAAAGGTTTCCCATGTAGGGCAATGAGTTGAGTTACTTCATAACTGGGTATTGTTGCATTTTCTTGAGCTTTGTTAGCACGGAAAAAAAAACCTGCTGCTACATTAACAGGCTAGCTGCCATTTGCTTTACCTTCTTCCACTCGGCGCCAGTGTAGGACGTGAAGGTCTGATGTTTTGTTTCATAATGCCGTCGTACATTGTACTCTTTCATCACGGCAACACTCTCATTACAAATCAAACAAACACACTTCCCCTTGGTTTCTATGCAATCTTGCGTCTCTTCGGTTCCGGCATTTTCTGGTGACCCTGAGCAAATGTTTTTCTTCGATTGCTTGCTTTGTGGAGATGTTGCCTTGTTCAAGACAATAGCGCCACCTCGTGTTTAAACTAAGAAGTGCAATACCGTGAGCCATATTCCATTATATGTTTAGACTTTGATACGGGCCAATTAAAAATGGATGGCGGGCCGCAGTTGGCCCGCGGGCCGTAGTTTGGACACCCCTGCACTACAATGACAATCGCTTCTATCGATTTGAAGCATGTTTTATTTTTTGGGAGGGTGGGGGGGGCAGAGCTTTGTGACGTCATATTTGAGGGGGGTCTGACTTTTTGTCACGCCGTGTGACGAAGGGGGGGGGGCAAAAATAGTCCACAAGGAGAAGCACATTAAATGAGACTACAAATTTGATGAATTCACAAGCGACACATTAGGGGGCCATCCACTTAGTACGTACGCATGGAGGGGGGAGTGGGGGGGGTTAACCCAAATGCGTACCCTTGCGTATGGGGGGTCTACTGACAATGTGCGTACACATAGGTAACGAAGGGAGGAGGTGAAGCCTCGATAATAATTTGTCTACATTGGCCTTCAAATGAGCCACAGTTCAGTGTCTTCAGCTGTCACACAACAAGTACTAGCGGGAGAAGCGGGCCTGTGGGAGAGGTGCCACACTTTGTGTACCACCTGACTGCTCCGCTATCTATCACGCAGCTCAGCAAAATAAGTGGCTAAGGTACACAACTTAATTCTTTAATACAGCCGGCGGTGGACTATCTGTTTGCTTAAACGCGTTAATGTTATTAATCCTTGATCGTTGCTGCGTGGATTAATCATCGGCCGTTCTATCGGATTCGGGTGGAGGGGGGTGCGTCAGGCGTACGTACGCAGGTTGGAGGGGGGGTGTAAAAAGTACGCGTGGGTACAGGTAGGGGGGGAGGGGCTAAGTTTTGACAGATTTGTGCGTACGTGTTAAATAGAAAGACCCATATTTGTCAAATTAAATATAAGCGAGGTAAATGCAATTGTTATTACCTGATCCAAAGCCTGGATTTCCTTAAATCCCCCCCTCCCGCTCTCAACTGCCGAATGGACGCGTCTACTCGCCTGGCTCCGCCCACTCGCCTAGCTCCGCCCACTCGCCTGGCTCCGCCCACTCGCCGGTAGTGACGTCACACACATCGAGGCGGTCTGGTGAGGTTGACGCTCCACGTTTAAGCTCCCGACAACAACGCTAAGTTTTAGCTCCAGGATATTCACTGAGCTCCACTTACTACAGCTGCTTCGCCATGGAGTTCAAGTTCTTCAAACTGCTCCTGCCGCTACTGCTGCTGCTTCTTGCGGGGTTCCATCCTTCGGCTGCAAAGCCCGTGATGTCCAAAAACAGCATCAGTGCGCCCGAGGGTAAGAGGGATAAATAGGGATCCATAGGAATTCCACCAGGAGATCCACTGGGCTCCACTAGGGCTTTACACGTGCGCTGGTGATATTAGTGGCACTGTTGGTGGATGTAGGCAGCAGTGGTGCAGTGGTTAGCGCGCTGCGATACGAACCCAGCAACCAGATGTTGATTTCTACTCACGGCCCAAACCAGTGATGATTATCCGAACCGTTCATGGTCCTCCCCGAAGTCGACTCAACCTCACATGTGGACTGTACCTGGTGTGGTGTGCAAACATTGTCGCTGGGGAGACAAGGGTTGTCGGGCATGGTGCTGACCATCCACCCCCTCGTGTACCGTGTTGGCCTTCATAGTTGCTTGCTTACAGCACTTGCCTCAACCATTTGTTAAGGCTATAGGAGGGGTCTTTGTTGGTGGATGTTGTGATGCAGGAGATGGTGTTGAAGGCAATGCTTTGTGGTTGCCTTGTCGTCCTCGTAGTTGGCTTGTGGCGATTGGGATGGTGTTGATACCGTGGTGGTTATTTCAATTATGTGTTGTGTTGGTAGTAGTGGTTGTGTTGCGATAGTAGCAGTGTTGATGCTGGTAAATACGAACGTAAATTGAGGTCCTTCAAATTGGTAAAACAAAAGCCAGTTTCACAAAGTTTCCAAGTCACATGTGCATCTCCTGAACCTAAAAATTATTAGAATCAGAATATGTATGTATACTGGATGAATCCAATGAGCTATACAGCTGTTTTTCACAGATCTCCAGTTTTGGGGAGGTCAGAACGTTACAACAACAAACAATAAAAAAACACGATAGGAGTGCAGAGTATAGGAAATATAACAATTCACTTGTAAATATATGCAAATAAAACCATTTTTGTTACCTTATCTTGGCAAACAGCACGTGTAACCTCGTGGTTATTTTGGATCCTCATGCTTTTATTCACCGACCAAATGTCGCCAGTCAAAAAGGCATTCTACTGATGCCAGTGTTTCATTGCCCGCATATGGAATATTCTGAGACTCTCATCCATGCCTTCATTACTTCTCTGTTGGACTACGTTTCAACTCGCTCCACCTTACGGTTTCCCTGCTGTGGTCATTTCAAAGTTCAAAACGGTCCAGAATTCTGCTGCGAGGTTTGGTGTCATACACATAGGGTGGGTGTGTGATGATTTTGCCATCGTCACACGTTGGTTCTGGTGGTCGGTCGTTCAGGAGTGGAGCCGGCGATGGGAATGTCCGGCTGGATCCAGCGGATGCGCGGCGTGAAAATGACGACAGCTCCCCCTCGGACCAGCGCGACTGCAACCCCTCAAGCACCCGACATTGTCCACAAATCTTCAGGTAATTATCTCATGATTATCCCTCTAGCGGTGTCTAGCCTTAACTCCAAGCCCTATGCGTAATGCTAAACCTAACCCTAACTGTAAACCCAAACTTTGTAACTAGCGATTGAAAAAGGAATGGCTTCACCCTTTCTGGCAATAATATAGGAGGTGTGAAGATTTTCCCACACCAAATACATACCTATTGGAAGGCATCGACTCTGCATTAACCACAAATGTTCGTGGTAAATCATGCAAGCAAACATGCTTCGAAAATGAATGTATTGTCCTTGAGACTAATTGGCCTCCACCAGAGACAGCCTCCTTTATGGCCTTGTCTCACCAGTGTTAGACTAGAGAGTGCCAAAAGGCTAACACCACAAAAGGAATACACATATTAAAGCATTAATAACTGAGGTTAAACAGTTATATCACTGTCCCTAACCCTTACTAATTAGGAATGTGAGTCACCCCTGTTGATATTTTGCTGGAGATAACTTAATGAATGTTTGCTCTCCCTTGTGTGTGGACGCAGTCTACAAGACGGTTACGTTGTCCGTCCTAAGTTCCATTGGGCTGATCACCCTGTGTGTTGGTGCAAGGCTTCTATACTGGCGTTACGTGAGGTGAGTGTGATGATGATGAGGGTAAATGCAGGGTCCAGGGAGCACATGTTTCTTAAAATCAACCGCTCTTTGCCATTGGTTCCATTTAAACCGCCTCCCTTCCATGTAAAACACTGCGTATGTTCTTTGTAAAAATATAATTGTAGAATGTTTGGAGTCAAGGGTAAGCCCTTCATCTTAAAGTGACTTGAAGAAAAACGAAAAACAAACAGCTCTTATCTTGTAGCTTCATAACTAATCAGCGAGTCCTTGGCAGTTTAGCACGCGTTTTATTTGATGGTACGATGAACTTCTGTAAAATGAGTATCATGTTTTAAAATGAATAATGCATCCGAAATCACATTCTTGCAAGGCAGCATCACCCCATGTTAGACAATGGTCCATGGAAACATCACACAATTACTGAACTCACTTCAAGTGACCTCTCATGTACACCACGGGGCAACAATTCCCCATCTGCTTTCACAGAGTAACGTCCACCACACAACTCTCAGAGCTCGGATTTAACTGAAATCAATGCACTCCTCAGCAGTAAAAAAAATCTCAGCAGTGCCGGTTCACACGAACATATCTCTACACCAACCAGCCACCAGCAAGCAGTGATGAATAACTAATTAAAGAAGCTTCAAATGCATGTGAAGCTTTGTGAGACAATGTCTAGATGTGTGTGTAGTAGGAGCTAGGATAGGGGTCGGCACCCTGTGACTCCAGAGTAGCGTGCGGCTCTTTAAGGGTTGCTTCGTGACGTTTATTTATTTATTAAGGACTGTCTGGTATTCACCACAGTGCATTACGGCTGTTGAAATATTGAGGGGTTTTTTTTACCGAATTAAAAAAAAAATGGTTCTTGTTATTTCGATCGCCAACCCCTGATGTAGGAAGATAAGAGCACTGTGCAGGAGTATAGGAACCCATGATGAACACTGTACAAGCCACGTGCACTGCATCCTAGCAAGGCAACCTTTCATGTCTAAACAATTTTCTTCCGCTTCTCTTTTGCACTTTTTGTGGTAGCCTTTCAGCACAGCCTGCAGATGATGGTGGCGAAGCCAATGTCATGAACAGTGATGAAGAAGACGCGCCACCATCACTCTGGAGCGATATCTCACGAGTCCTCACGGCAATTCGCCAATACATAATGCCGCGGCCAAGGGCCGTGGATGAAGAAGGTGAAGACGTTGCACCAGGCGGGTGGTTTATGGAGATTCTAACTACCTTGGTGCAAAGCTTGAAGCCTGAGCCAGGGACCAGCAGCAGCACAGATGGCAATGGTGATGCCCACAAAAAGTCGCACCATAAGGCGAAGAACCTGAAGACAGGTGAGAGAAGTGTGTGTGTCTGTGTGCATCTACCAGTCATCTCGCACCTCCGATTAGCACGGCTGGCTATGTGTGGTACAAAGAAGTTCAACGTACCTTCATCTCAGACAAACTGTGGCACCTGGATCTGTTCCATGACCTCCTGCCAGCGAGCCTTCGACATTTCACTTGGCCTCAAAGTGCACGTAGCATGGCACACGTGCCGTAGTGACTTCACCGCCACTTGGTCGCAAACGGGAGTTGTGTTTTACACGTTGCCTTCATGATGGTATACCACTCGTAAAATGTTGGCAGAACATTGAATTGCAATAGTCATGCAATTCTACATTACTTATCTGGCCAGCGTTGAAAACGCTCGATTTTTTTCTTGCATGAACAAATCCTCCGTCACTAGATCTGACAACAGTCGTAAGACTGGGCCAGAGCCTGTGGCTCTTACTTCACCAATATAATTTGACGTAAAGCAGATATCGGTCCATTGATGCTTTTTCTGATAACTGATTCATTCCAATTACTCACCATTGTTAAGTTGTTTCCCTTCACGTGATCTGTCTCCTTGCAGGCAAAAAGAAGGAAAAGTTCAAGAAATTCCTGGCAAATAAGAGAACACAAGTGAAGAAACTGCACAGCAAATTCAAGGCGACTTTCAAGAAGAAAATGCCAAAATTAAAATTTAGGAGGAAGCGCAAATAGTCATGGACAGTGACTACCCTTCCTTGACAACCCCTCCCCGCTCCTCCTCTTCACTCCGAACATTTATGAATTAACATGATCACATCTCTCGTCATATCGCATTGCCTGCTCCCTACTTCAACCCTTCACAAAGTTAATGATTCCTCGTTTAGCCCAAAACAGATTGTTTGGGCAAGGCCGGCATAGTGGTCACGCCCGGCTGCCTTTGTTTCCCGAGTGACGATCTTTTTGCATTCACCATGTCCTCATTTGAGTTTGAGCCACATGGCTGCCAAGGCATCGGCAGCCCCGGGACATCGGGGCTTTGTGCGGTCCGAAGGATGGAAGGTCGAGCTCCGGGCCGGGGGAGTCTTCACCATATCAGCATGCCGGGCACGGAGGGAAGCTTCGCGTCCGTGGAAAGCAAGCCAGGCCCAGGCTGCGGTTTCTTCCTTGTCGCGGGTCCCTGCCGGGACTCCACTGCTGCACTGCGTGGACATTGCGGAACTCGTCGGTGGTTCGGGGGACTCCATCGCCGTGGGCCCCTTCTCCCTCCTGGCTCCAGCCCCTCGCCCCGCCCCCCTTTGTCTTTCCAATGCAATTTTGGCCGACTACCTTTCAATGTATATTTTCAAATTATTGTTATGCTAGGTACAATTGTATAATTGCTGTACAGCGCCTTGTTAAAGGCACTATGTAAATATCATTAAGATAAGATGCACACTTGCGCAAATGCTGATATACATGTAACATAAAAAAAACTAATTTTATTTGCAATGTATTTACAATGTCTTGTTGCTTCTGTTGAACAATGCAATATTCACATGTACATATATGATTCTCCAGCTTCACACGTGGTCACTCCTGCGAATGATCTGTTTAATTCCCAGCCAGGTCCGTCAACCCAGGCTTGGCTCAGAGCTCACATCCTCCTCCTCACTCGAGCTTTTGTTTACTGCTTGTAGTGCATTGCGCATTGGGATCCTAGAATGGAATGCGCATTATAAATTTTAATTATTTTTTTAGATTGGAGGAATCTGATGATACGAAGCTCTTTTTCACATGTCCAGTAGGGGTGCGTCAAGGCCCTGGTTTCAATACTGGTAATAGAAAACAGCACTTGAGTTTGTACTTCCTACCTTGGGGCCACTTCGCCTCACCCCTGGTTTCTGAGTCATCGAGTGGCCCATCACTACGATGCTGAATTGACACCAAGTGCTCTGATGCTCAATGTTGGCCCCACTCAAGCTATTGGGGCTAACAATCCACCACCCTGGATATTCCATTCACAATAGTAATTTGGGGTTGACAATCCAAGGTTCAATTATTTGTTAAATATTGCCTTGAATGATTTCCGCTCCTCGTGGCTGCAAGTCTAATACCCGTATGACTTGTTTCCATGCGTCAGCAATATCACCCTCCATGGTCATTCCACTGCTGGATAAAGACCTCCCGAAGCCATATTAATATTTCATGATCCCCACCAGAGGGCCACTAGAGTGAAGCTGGACCATACTCTAACATTCCATGACAACCTCAAAAAGGTAGCCTCCAAGACCAAAACAAGGGTCAACCTGGTCCAGAAACTGCCAAGCACACGCTGGGCAGCATCAGCACCAGTGCTGCGGGCAATCAGCGATGGCCCTTGTGTGCTCTGTAGCCGAATACTGTTTACCAGTATGGACCAGAAGTAGTCACCACTCGACTTGTTCATGTCCAACTGAACACTGCAATGCAGTGGATCACTGGAACCCTCAAGTCAACACCAACACCCTTGGCTCCCCGTGCTGTTACACATCTCTCCCCCACCCATCCGCCGCAACACTGCAAACCTCTGGGAAGGCCTGCAAATCGAGGAAAACAGTCGCCCATTCATTAGGACCTCAACAACGTCCCTTGTCATCATTTGAAGTCAGGCAAGCTCTTTTGGACCCATGCGCTTAGCCTTAAACAATGCCAATTCAAACCCGATGAAGCTTGGGAAGTTGAATGGAGTTCAAAAGAACTCAACATCTTGTGAATGACTCAATGCAGATCCCTGGGTTTAATCTTCCACGAAGCTCATGGTCCACCATAAACCGCATCCACTGCACAAACCATGGCGGATGCGGACGCCTGATGCACAAATGGAAAATAAAAAAACTCGCCAATCGTGTGCGACTGTGGTCATCCAGAACACACCATAGAGCATATAACAATGCAATGTTCGATGCACACACATACGAAGGAGACATCACGATACCCTCCACTGCTCCTTACGCGGTTGTCCGCTGGCTTGACAACCTTGAATGTGAAATTGTAGTCGTTGCTTTGCATCTACATCGGCAGCCACACATGACCAGAAGAAGAGACTGCTGCTGCCTGTCCATCGGTCACATTGGCTCATATTTATTTTGGGTGCTGACCTAAGACAAGAGGACTTATGAAGCAGTTCTTGAGGTCCCGCTGATGGTTTTTTGACACAATGTACACGACATAGGGGTTTTGTGTGCGGGGAGTAGTGGTGTAGTGGTTAGCGCGCTGCGCTACGAACCTGGCGACCCGAGTCCGATTTCCGCTCACGGCCACCAACACCGGTGACGATTATCGTGGGCCTCTCCCCTAGGTCGACTCAGCCTCCAACGAGTACCTGGTACGGTGTGTGCTAGCACACCCACCCCCGTCGTTGTGCCATGCCGGCCTTAATAGGTGCTGCTCACTAACAGCACTTGCCACAACACTCTGTGAAGGCTACACGGTGGGGGGGGGATCTTTGTCTTTGTTGTGGAGACGCGGTCAGATTTACAATAACGCCAATGCCATTCACTCTAAAAAATTAACATTATTTTAGTGCCTATGTACTAAAACGTATCTAAGGGGCCGTCCATAAATGATGTCACAGTTGTAGAATGATTGACCAAAATAACTACATATCCATCATTTTGCGACTTGCACCCATCAATATAACTGCCAAAATTTGGAAATTACCAGTCATTCTTTTTTCTGCATTGATACTTCCATTTCTTGTCTTCAATCATTTTTGTATATGTTCTCTGACATTCTCATCGCTTTTGTTTGGCATCTTTGATAACTCTCCTCTTTTCTTCTCGAATTTTCTAATCAAGCACTTTTATTCTCACACCTTACCGAAACAAAAGCCTGATAAAAAAGCTTTCATTTTCGGACTGTAAGTACACATTTATTATTTTTGGTATAATCATGGCAGTGACTTGCTGATAAGAATAGACAAGTTTCTGTTCCTAAAAAATGTTTTGGAATTAATAAACACTTTTATGCGCCATGTAAGAATGTCTCATTGACTGGATATCATCTGAAAATCACGAGGGGGGGGGGCGGAATCATTCCAAAATCCCTTCCAAATGAAATTAGAACGTGCTGCGACTTCTTACCAATCATTTCTCTCCACACAGTACCTGCACAAAATATTGCATAAAGCATGCATTTCGGGCACCGAAAATGTGTGGCTTTTACAATTAGTTTTGAAATATACAGTATATATATTTTTATAAAGTGTGAGATATATCCTATGCTGTGCAAGAGCATTATTTTGGTCGGAGTTTCCTTCCTCAGTAAATCCTCATTGATGCTTCAAACAACGCTGCCAGGTCCTCTTCGTTTTGGGGCCTTGGAGACAACTTGGTGACTCGTTCCTGAAATAGATTAAGGCCGGAGAGTTGACGTGTACAAAAAATAAACTTGCCCATTCGGCAATTTATATTCAATGTTAAAGTTAAAAGGTGCATCCCTGCAATGGTATTGCTAACGTCACTGATGGCGGAAGGGCATCCACTAGCCCTATCGAAATCCAGAACGTTTATGCACACTGCAAGGAACATTCACAACATTTATCGGATCAAGTTTAAAAGGTTACCAGTAGAGTCTGGCGAATCATTGCTCGCAGCACTGCTTGCAGAAGAGCTTCCACTCGAGGGAGCTATAGACAGTCATTTACAGAGGGTACTTTGATCGACTCTTCCACATTGGCCTGATATCTTAACTGTTGCGCCAGGAGATTGAATCGGCGACCTCTGGATTGCAAGTCCACTTTTAAACGTTAGATCCCATGCAGCATTTATATTCAATATAAGTAAGTAATATATTCAATGTAAAGTCATATATTCAACGTAAGTAATATATTAAATGTATGTGATATATTCAATGTAAGTAATATATTCAATGTAAGTAATATATTCAATGTAATATAAGCTTGGGAAGTTTACACAAACACTTCTATTTACAAATTGTAATGTTATTGCCCATGCTGACAAGATTAAACTTTGAACGAAAGTGGATCTGTTCTTGTAGCAATAGGAGTTTACCATTTTATCTGGCACCAAAACTAACACCTTTATACAAGGGATCATGTTTGCAATAGCCACAACACAAGCAATCAAAAAGAGACAACTCTGATAATGATATGCACTGTCCTTGAAATTGATTGGTCCACACCCGAGACGGCTTTTCATAGAGCCTAGTCTCCACTGGTGTTGGACCAGATGATGCCAAAAGGCGTACAACTCAAAAACAGCGCACTATCAGAGTATTGAGAGCTCGGGGTAAGCATTTACATTATGAGACCTCCTTTGCCAGTAGCAAGATATAGTAATAGGTTTTTACCCTTTTATCTGGCACCAAAACTGACACCTTTATACAAGGGATGGATCTGTTCTTTTTCATAACACATATAGGTAGTGTGATGAATTACCAAATACTTTGACTTATCAGATCCCGGAAGCTAAACAGGGTAGTACCTGGATGAGTGACCGCCATGCACAGCAGGTTCTGATAGGCTGTGGGGCTATGTAGTGTGTTGCAGAGGGCAATGCAAACAAAGTACATTGTTCTGCTATACATCTATGCTCCCATGTCTATGCTCCTTAACTTCAACAACCTGCACTGATCAGCATGTGGTGAAGCCTTCATCCAGCAGTGGATTGACACAAGGTGCTGTATATGTGCTGCGTATTATAAGCAACAATCGTACAGAGTTACGGCACATCAAATTGCACAAATGGAAATTCAGAAATTTTGAAAAGTTACATTGGCAACATAAAAAATGCGACAGGAATCAAGTGTACCAGCCATGGGGCAGCCAACTGAACTTGATGGGCGCTCGACAATACAGGGTGCTCCAAAAAATGTTAACATTTACATGGGACTATCGTTTTTAATGGCAAAAGAACGGATAATACACTTGAACATGATAACAAATGTAATGTTAATAGCTTAAAAAAGTCAAAGAGTCTCCACTTGTTCACCATCATTGTCAACACGTGCCTAGAATCTCCTCCAGGTGGTCTCCAGAGCCCGGAGGCAGCAGCACATTTCTTGTGGTATTGTTGCAAATTCTCAGAAGTGTCCAAATTTGTTTTAAGCACCCTGTACTCACCTGGGGCAGTGTGCCCTTGACGAGTGCGGGGATGTCCTGGGACGAGTACCCCACAGCGCTCAAGCCATCCTCGACGTTGAGGTCAAACAAAAGCGCTCGCAGAGTGTCGGCGAGAATGGACCCCGCGTCAGCTCGCTTAGCTTGGCTCACGTCCGCCCCTAGGCACGAGGCAAGCATTCGTGGTAGTGTAGTGGTTGACACGCCACGCTACAAACCCGGCGACCCGATTTCGATTCCCGCTCGCAGTCAACGCCGGTGACGAATATCTGAACCAGTTCCCTGGGCCTCTCCTTCGGTTGACTCAGCCTCAAATGAGTAATTAGTGTGGTGTGTAAACATCGCCACTGGGGAGACAAAGGTGGTCGGGCGTGGTGCTGGCCACCCACCGCCTCGCGTACCGTGCCGGCCTTCATAGGTGCTCGTTAACAGCACTTGCCCCAAGAGTTTCTGTTAAGGCTAAAGGCTATACATACAGGGGATCTTTGTCTTGCTCATTTGTTTGGACAAAGCACTATGAGGCTAAGGCTTTTAAAAAAAAAGTATTAAGTATTCCATGATCTAACTCGGAAAAAAAACATCTGAGTCAGATTTGGCATGGTACATAAAATACAGAAACTAATATCTGGTACGAGAGATGTATTACCGAAGCTATCAACAGAAGGTGTGTACCAGATTAATTGCTCTTGTGGCAAATGCTATGTTGGACAGACAGAACAAATGATCAGCACGAGACTAAAAGAACATCAGATAAATATTAAATACTCCCAAATGCAATTGTCAGCAGTAGCAGAACACGCGTGCCAACAATGACACTCAATTTATTTTGATAATGTTGAAGTTCTGTGCAAAACTAGTTACTACTGGCTAAGACTAATTAGAGAAGCTATCGAAATTGACAGAAATAAACATAATTTTAAGCATTCGGATAGCTACAGGCTTAGTGCTGCTTGGAAGCGAATCATCAAATAATACATTGTTCAAATGCATGCCTATACAGGTCACCACACGTTGATGGCCATATGAATGACCCAACCGGTAATGAATACCATTGTAATTTATATGCATTCATGAATCCCTCCCCCACTTCGCGAGCGAAGGGCTCTCAAGTGACGTCATCACATCTACCCCTCTATTTAACGAACGAAACGGGAAGATTTCTCCACAAATCTGGCTGCCGCCTGATGATGCTAGTTGTAATTACCGGTGAAACGTCGTACTCAGATTGTAAATGTTCTGGATTTGCTCTCCAACACACCGGTGTGCTGTACTAGTGACAAATTACCATGTTCTGTTTACGTGGCAAACCTTACTAATTGGCTGTGTTGGGTGGTGGCGGGTTCAACGACATTTATATTTATGCGATCTAACCCAAAAAATCTGTATTGTGGATTAAAAAAGTATATCGTCAAGTCAAGGAACGTTTATGGCAATGGCCCATTCTCCCAGCACGTAGAGAGGGCTGATAGGTACAGTGCATATATAATGACATTTAACTCATGAAATATTTTTATTTTGAGAATAGGTTTTCCCCTTTTTTCTGGCAACAAAACAGGTGTGAAGATGTTAAAACACCAAACTGAAACCTTTAACAAGAAATCATGTCTGCATTAACCACAATGCTTGTGGTCAGAATGCAAAAAAACACTCTAATAATATATGCATTGTCTTTGAAACTGATTGGTCCACACCAGAGACGCTTTCTTTTGAGCCTCGTCTCAAACGATGTTAGACCAGAGGACGCCAACTTAACACCTGTTTTGTTGCCAGAAAAAATGGGAAAACCTATTCTCATATTTTGGTACTGGAAAAGGAGGTCCCATGATATTTTTATTTTACCAGGTAAGGCCCACTGAGCTATAATTCTACAGCTCTTTTTCAGAAGCCATCTGGCCGCAAACGATAGCCCAACGAAGCGGCTTATTACGTAGAAATTTACCGCAGCCCAATACTCTGAAAGCACGTTTCTAAACGTGGATGAGAAAAACCGGAGGATCGTTTATATAGACACCAACCTGCCCTGTTCTGCTACATCACACTGTATTTAAAACAATGGATATAAGCATTTCTCAGACAGCCAACTGGCATGCTGGCAGCAGCCCTACCAAGGATTGCAGCTGCCTCGAGATGTCGCTCTGGGCACATGGCGGCGGTGAACGTGAAGACAGCAGGAGAGGTCAGCACCACCGAAAGACCGTGAGGCTGAAATGAACGAAAACATCCGTAAGTAAAATGATTCACTCCCTCGAAAATTCAATGGATTGTTAAGATTTGCTGGTTTCGATTCGAATTAACCATTTCGTGAATATTGTTACTCATTTGTTCTGTCCCGTGTGTAATTTTGTTCGTCGCGTTTGTCTAAATATCATGAGAATATGATTTTCACGTAATTATCATTAACTTAAATAATATCTTTTCACACGCACGATTTAATGCACATGTATAGAAGGCATAATACAGTATTTTGATGTTTGATTTTTTTCTTTTGCACGCAGAAACATAACTATAATGTCTTGAATGTGCTAATTTCTCACCAAAATTGGGTGATCCACATTGTAGTCCTTTGCTCTGTAATTTTTTACCATTCCAGCTATGGGGTACGACATCCCGTGACTGAAAATGCGCACGTGAAAAAAAACCTTATTATGAACGCAGTGTTAAAAAACAAAACCTGCCAGGTTGTAAACCAGAAGGCACGAATATTAATAAAAAATTGTAAAATAGCTTTCACACAACCTCTCGCATTGTGACAAAAAGCTCAACACATTCAGCAATAACACTACCTTAATTGGAAATATATATGTATACATATACTAACATAGCTTAAATAGTTGACATTTCAGGCAACGGACCTTTTTTCATCGCACGTGTGGTGATGTAAGTGCAATAACCTCTACCAGAGATGGACGCCGGCATTCCCAAAGCCGATCCCTGCAAACACACTGGCGAGGTGCATGCTGGAGCGTGCCTCCAGGTCATCCTGCTGCCTCACTGCCCTATGGCAAAAACACACACAAGTGTCCAGGGGTATTTGAAAGTGTTCGCATGGCAACCTTTAATAATTAACTCGGTTTCAGCCGGGGGGGGGGGGGGGGGGGGGGGGGGAACTCACTGGTAGAGTGCTTGGCTCACAATCTGAGGGTTTGTGAGTTCAAATCCTGGATGGGGGTTGGCTCAGCCCATCGTCCCTCCTGGGGATTTAATTTTTAAAAAAACTAGTTCCACTTTGTGGGCGTATGAACAGTGGTTGTTCTATGGCAGGGGTCGGCAACCAATAAATACACGAAGAGCCGTTTCTTTTCTAAATTCGGTAAGGAAAACAAGAATCAATATTTAAGAGGCCGCAATGCACGTGAATACGTGACGGTGCTCCTGAATAAACAACTGTCATGAAGCAGTCGCTTGAAGAGGCGCATGTGGCTCCAGAGACGCAAGCTACCGACCCCCCCCCCCATTGTATGGGCAGACCTCACCACCCACCAGAGGAACGTGAAAGTTCCACCACTGGCTCAGGGGCTGTAAAAAGGAGATGTCCATATGAGCGGGAAATCGATCTCGACTTTGTTCACGAGTAAAAACAACCGCTTGGCGTTTTAATCTCCGCTATGAATTCTATATACCGGTATACATTAGCAGGCTATCAGCTTCAAGGCCACACTGCACAGCAGCCATATTACTTGATTCACTGATGATGTGGATGACATATGTTGAGGTATTTCGCACGAGACTTAAAGCAATTTATAGCTTTAGGATGGCCATTCCCTAAGAGTTAAACCATCAACATCTGAGATATACTTTTTGAGGGCAATTTTTTTTAAAAATGTATTCCAGTCAAATGCCTCTACTTATTGGATGCTTTTTGTGCTTTGTTAGTTTTAAAGGAGAATATGTAAGCGTTAACCATAGGCAGAGGAAGTTATTGACAGCTTTATGTGATTATTAAAAATAAAATCTCTTGCTTTGCAAAATTATACTCAGAAAGCACTGTACTTTTAAAAGTATTGTACGGTAGCAAAATGTTTAAGTCAAAAATGGTATAAAAAGACAATATACCATTGTTTCATACACAACGGGGTGGAACACTGGTGCGGTGATTAACAAATTTCACTCAACCCAGACACCCGAGTTTAGTGAAAGTGGTGATAAATAGACTGGGCCTGGGCCTCACCCTTCACTCACCCACACCAACCAGCGTGGTAAAAAAAAATGGTAAAACAACTCCGATGACTGACACCACATGGATGAGGCCATCATCCAGCAGAGAATTGATGCAGGGCTGCACACGCGATCACCAAATGAATGGACAAGCAACACAACTCAACAGTGGCTTTTCTAAACGAGAGCTCCTAAAAATGTGTTGGCGTGAGGAATGTAGGGGATGCACAACGTACCTCTTCATGTATTTGGCCACGATTTTCAGGGCGTGAATTGACCACACGTCACTGATGGGGTTACTGCCTTGGTAAGCGGGCCGGTTGATTGGATTGGAAGGGCAGGGCGAGCGCTGGTGGTAGGGGAGAGCCGTGTACGACTCCAGCGCATGGCTACGTCCAGTCAAACACAGCAGTGCGAAGGTTAACGCGCAAGCCCATCCATCGACAGATTGAGGTGGAGTTTAATGCTATTTAGATTTTATATTGGAGTAAAAAATATATATATACTGCTCATAATGTTCTAAATAACACATCTGAATGTCCTTTGAGAGATAATACCGAAGCTACTATGCCTTTATAAGTAGGCGCATAAGTCCTGCATGTTTCATTACTGCAACTGTTTGGTGTGTGTGTGTTGTTTTTTTTTGTGCGTTTGCTTTGTTTCGGCAGAAGAGTTTTCTAAAACTATTGGTCGGTATCGAAGTCCCACCAACCACAACTGGGCATGTAATAGTTTACCGCCTCAAGCGATTTTTTGAATTGTGTTGCCCCATCGCGCGCGTGGGTTTACCTCCGGGAAGCTCCGGTTTCCTCCTATTCGTATAAACGCTCATTATTAATTGGCTGAAAAAAATCTTAAAAATAACAAACATTAAATGCGTGATCCTCCTGAAAGAGTCCTGCGACTCAGTGTGGCTCTCCTTGATACATATTTCAAGAAGCTCCTTGGAGACTTCTCTTGTACAGACCCCTATACATAGACTAAGTACAAACATGATTCAGGATACTCTTTGGTTCTATTGGGTAAAGTCACGTAGGTGAAAATAAAATAACAAAAAATCACGCCGTTTCGGCCACAACACAAGCGGCCTTCATCACCTGATGAAGAACAACACAAGCGGCCTTCATCACCTGATGAAGAACAACACAAGCGGCCTTCATCACCTGATGAAGGCCGCTTGTGTTGTGGCCACAACGTCGTGATTTTTTGTTATTTTATTTTCACCTATGTGACTTTACTCGAAAGAACCAAAGAGTATGTATGGATCCTAGCAGTCACGAAAGCTTTAAATCTAGAAATGATTCAGGATCGTGATAAATTCCATGACAATCAATGATGAGATGTTTCATTACAATACTGTGTATTTAACTACTGCCTCATTTGTACTGCCTTCACTGTATTATCTGTTGGATATACTTCATGTCTTGTGAGTAACGTCAGTCTCATTACCACTGTACGTCTTGCTCTGTCCCATTTGGATTTTGTCTCGATAGTCTGCCCATCTCATTTGTACTCCCTCAGATCTAGTTTCTAGCTTGTCTGTACGGTCTGGTTTGTCTTGTCCTGCTTCACTTGTGTCCTCTGTCTCATTCGTTCTGCCAGCCCAAATGCAACATCACATCATTTGTGTATATCGTAAATAATCGATTCTGACACATGCGATTCCATGCATGCATCACGTGCGTAAAATAAAATGTTGAGTCAATAAACCATTGCATTCCTAATCACAACATGATCTACTCATTAATGAGATGTGTGTCTGTGCTCGCGGTTTAAAGTGCGGGCTCACCAGAGAACGTCAAATCCACTGTTGGCACAAACGCGCCTCGGCATGTGCAGTGTGTGCAGTGGGTCCACCAGCCCCAGCGTTGGTTTCATGGCTCTGCTAGCAATGCCTGCTCACAGACAATCGATTACATTCCCATTGAAAAGAGCTGACAGTTTACAAATCATTTGGCTAATCATCAAACAAAGATGGGCACTTATCGAGTGTGCTTTTGCGGCCACCTGGAATGCTCTTCCTTCCAATATCAAAAAAACTCATTTGTTTACAACTGCTTTGTGTGTTTAGTTGGTTGCCCTTCCCCCCGCAGTTCCGATTAGCACAGTTGGCTAAGTATGGTGTGAAAGCAGTTCATCATACATACATACATTACAGTGTCAGCTTTATCAGAACTATACATAGCCAAATGTGTGGATGAAATCAGATGCATGGCTTAACTTTCAACCAAGCTTAGATTACCTGTTTTAGCCTTCAGTGGCTCATAGTCAAAAATAGCCACTCCTGTGGTCTCGCTGCCGGTGCCAGCTGTTGTAGGCACTAGACAAAGACAATGAAAGAACTGTGTGGATTTGTGTTAAAAGTTAACGCGAACATTTGGCACATGGCAAATTCAACTCAAGAATATGACTTAATTGTCAGTCATGAAGGTTATTTGACAATACCTCACCATCCCTTGGCAATGTGAATTAAAGGGGGACCCAGGAACGGTTCAGATATCACTTGCCATTCTTGGCCGAGAATCAAACTTAGGTCATCAGTGAAATAGTGCAGTGAACTAACCACTTGCATCACTGCTCCACTCCGAAATATAACCGGTAGAAGATAAGGTTCACATGAATAAATGTGCGTCTGGGTGTTTCGCCTTGCCACGTTGTCATAGGCTACAGACGATCCCCGTATTTTGATCCCAAAGAACTCTATAAAAGTGGTGGCCAATAATTGTGGACAAAAAGCATAAAATGCGATGTCCGAACCATTGTGAGCCAAAACATGGGCAGACTGATCAGAAAGCACTTGTCATTTCAAATGGAGATTTTTTTTTAAAAAATTCACAGTACATCATTTAAAAGTCAGATTGCCATTGTACAATGGTTAGCACAATCCCAACGTCGCCAAATCCATCTCGTAGCATGGCAGTTGAAACAATGTGCAAGTTTCTTAAATCCCCTCGCCTTTGTCCACTCAGCAGTACAAATGAGTATACCACTGGCAGTCACATGTGGAGAGGTAAAGTGGAGGTAATCCCACAGACTCGAAAATGTCTGGTCACCCTGAACATAGTAGGCCAAAATACGCTAGAAGGGGCTCTCTATAGCTCACTTTATGGGATGTCCTTCCACCAGCAGTCACATGATCAAGTATTTACAGGGCTGCACCTTTAGCTGTTTTACGTAACAAATAAATCATCCTAAAATAGCTTAACATGTAAAATAGGAAATTAAACCATAAGGTTGTGTGAAAGTATGAATCCAGATTTTTTTTTTAAACATATAGATAAAAATTAAACATGAAATTTGCTTTCAATGGTCTGTATAAATATTATAGTCTCTATCCAATGATGAATGTCACGTGGTATAAAAGGCTAAATTAGTTAGAAGCAAGTCTAAGGTTGGTATTACCTGATCAAGTATTCCCAGAAGCACACTCTAGAATTCTATTTGAGGTCATTTGCACATTTCTTTTCACGAGGTCAACATGTCCTCCCATTGCTACTTAGGAAGCCACTGGAGCAATGGTGCACTTTTAAATCTGGATTGAAAAACTCATTTCTTTAGAACTGATTTTTCGTGTATAGTTTGTTTTCCTTCCCTCGCACCACTGATAAGCACGGTTGGCTACGTACGGTGCAAATAAGTTCAATGTACATACTGTGAGGGAAAAAAGTATTTGATCCCCTGCTGATTTTGTACGTTTGCCCACTGACAAAGAAATGATCAGTCTATAATTTTAATGGTAGGTGTATTTGAACAGTGAGAGACAGAATAACAACAACAAAATCCAGAAGAACGCATGTCAAAAATGTAAAAAATTGATTTGCATTTTAATGAGAGAAATAAGTATGTGACCCCTCTGCAAAACATGACTTAGTACTTGGTGGCAAAACCCTTCTTGGCAATCACAGAGGTCAGACGTTTCTTGTAGTTGGCCACCAGGTTTGGACACATCTCAGGAGGGATTTTGTCCCACTCCTCTTTGCAGATCTTCTCCAAGTCATTAAGGTTTCGAGGCTGACGTTTGGCAACTCGAACCTTCAGCTCACTCCACAGATTTTCTATGGGATTAAGGTCTGGAGACTGGCTAGACCACTCCAGGACCTTAATGTGCTTCTTCTTGAGCCACTCCTTTGTTGCCTTGGCCGTGTGTTTTGGGTCATTGTCATGCTGGAATACCCATCCACGACCCATTTTCAATGTCCTGGCTGAGGGAAGGAGGTTCTCACCCAAGATTTGACGGTACATGGCCCCATCCATCGTCCCTTTGATGCGGTGAAGTTGTCCTGTCCCCTTAGCAGAAAAACACCATCAAAGCATAATGTTTCCACCTCCATATTTGACGGTGGGGATAGTGTTCTTGGGGTCATAAGCAGCATTCCTCCTCCTCCAAACACGGCGAGTTGAGTTGATGCCAAAGAACTCCATTTTGGTCTCATCTGACCACAACACTTTCACCCAGTTGTCCTCTGTATCATTCAGATGTTCATTGGCAAACTTCAGACGGGCATGTATATGTGCTTTCTTGAGCAGGGGGACCTTGCGGGTGCTGCAGGATTTCAGTCCTTCATGGCGTAGTGTGTTACCAATTGTTTTCTTGGTGACTATGGTCACAGCTGCCTTGAGATCATTGACAAGATCCTCCCGTGTAGTTCTGGGCTGATTCTTCACCATTCTCATGATCATTGCAACTCCACGAGGTGAGATCTTGCATGGAGCCCCAGGCCGAGGGAGATTGACAGTTCTTTTGTGTTTCTTCTATTTGCGAATAATCGCACCAACTGTTGTCACCTTCTCACCAAGCTGCGTGGTAATGGTCTTGTAGCCCATTCCAGCCTTGTATAGGTCTACAATCGTGTCCCTGACATCCCTGGAGAGCTCTTTGGTCTTGACCATGGTGGAGAGTTTGGAATCAGATTGATTGCTTCTGTGGACAGGTGTCTTTTATACAGGTAACAAGCTGAGATTAGGAGCACTCCCTTTAAGAGTGTGCTCCTAATCTCAGCTCGTTACCTGTATAAAAGACACCTGGGAGCCAGAAATCTTTCTGATTGAGAGGGGGTCAAATACTTATTTCCCTCATTAAAATGCAAATCAATGTATAACATTTTTGACATGCGTTTTTCTGGATTTTGTTGTTGTTATTCTGTCTCTCACTGTTCAAATAAACCTACCATTAAAATTATAGACTGATCATTTCTTTGTCAGTGGGCAAACGTACAAAATCTGCAGGGGGTCAAATACTTTTTTCCCTCACTGTACGTGCAACATACATTACCGGCAATGAGAGGTTTGAGTGTGGCGGTGACGGGCATGCCCTTTCCAATGGGGGCGTTCACAAAGTCTAGGAAATCGGCATCAGGGCTGGCGCTGTACAGGTTTGAGGCTTTGCACGTGTCCATGACAGAGCCCCCACCAACAGCCACGTAAGCATCGAACCCACCACTGCGTGCAAATGCGATGGCATTCTTGAAGCTGCAACGCAGCCCAGGGCAGCAGACAACACAAATATGCCGTTACACTTTTGTCGGTCCCCAGTGGCTCAGCGGTAGAGCGAGCAGCTCACACACGGAAGGTTGCAAAAGTTCGAATTCTGGTTTGGGGGGGGGGTTGAGTCAGCCCCATCATCATAATCGGGGGTTGTTAAAAGCAGTACCATTTTGTCAGGAAGTGAACTATGGTTGTCTGATGGAAATACTTGCCCCAGCTATGGTAAATGTGGAAATTATATCACTGGCTCAGGGCTGGAAACAGGAAATAATCGCCACCTCATCGCTCATTTGAGTAATAATTCATTCTGATTATTTCTTAGTCAGTTCTTCATGAATTCAAAAGCCTGAACCTAAAGAATGGTTGTTGATATAAACAATATGTACTTCAGTTATCAGATTCTATCTCAAGAGCCAACACTGCTACAGTTGTAGTTGGATGACATTTGTTTATTAAGAGTGGTCCGGCGGCTTCTTTTTCTCTCCCCATATTTTGCATTATTCAAATTGTATAATCAGCGTACATTACGTTGGCTCTGCGTAACGAAATAAACTGCTATCAATCAAGTAAATGACGATCACACGGCATTATCCAATATTGCAACGCGCTTACTCTTCACCTCCGCTGCTAAACCCTTTGGTTCACACTACATTCTACACATTCTGTTCACTGGCCTATTAAGTCTTGTGAAGCATGTTCACAGTTTAGACGTAGCCCTGCCCCAAGGCGCAGACTTTACTACAGCAGAAGCCAGATGGAAGCACACCGCTTGGGAGCAAGGTTAGCAGTGCTTATATATCTGAAGTAGTGTGAACATCTTGGGACCTCCTTTGCCAGTACCAAAATATGATAATAGGTTTTTCCCCTTTGTTCTGGTAACAAAACAGGTTTTAAGTTGTTAAAACACCAAACTGAAACCTTTTACAAGGAATCATGTCTGCATTAGCCACAATACTTGTGATCAGAATGCAAACAAAAACACACACTGATAATATATGCATTGTCCTTGAAACTGATTGGTCCACACCAGAGACAGCTTTCTTTTGAGCCTCGTCTCTGGTCTAACACCGTTTGAGATGAGGCTCAAAAGAAAGCTGCCTCTGGTGTGGACCAATCAGTTTCAAGGACAATGCATATATTATCAGTGTGTGTTTTTGTTTGCATTCTGACCACAAGTATTGTGGTTAGTGCAGACATGATTCCTTGTAAAAGGTTTCAGTTTGGTGTTTAAACATCTTAACACCTGTTTTGTTGCCAGAAAACAGGGGAAACACCTATTATTTTAAGTAGTGTGCTTATATCAGAAGTTGCCCTGTGCCTCCCCCACCCCCACCAGTGTAATTTAAGAATGTGTTGCTCATATGAGAACGGTGCAAGTGTAAGGTGTCATTATGTCCAGCTGCGACTGTATTGTTTTCTCGGGAATGTTGATTGATGAGAACCTGGTGTCTGTTGGCTCCACACGCACATCGTCGTAAAGCTTGAAGTTGATTTTGCTGCTCACGAGGGAATCGAGCACTGCCCTCACTGGAGGTAGCCGTGACAGGTTTTTATCCGTCATCACACACACATTGCGTGCTCCAATGTTCTGCAAATCCTGCAAGAAATTACATTAAAAGTAAAAAAAACTATAGACAATTCTTATTTTACGAGGTAAGGCCCACTGAGCTATGTACCTATTTTTCAAAAGCGACCAGGCCACGAATGATAGCTCAACGAAGTGGCTCATCATGTGGAAATGTATAGCAGCCAAATACTCTCAGCGCATGTTCCTAAATCTGGAGGGATAACCGGAGGACCAGGGGATAAATCCAAGTGACCATGGGGAGAGAGACATGCAAACTCCAAATAAATAAACATCAGGGTTGGGATCGAACCCCACGATCTCCTGTATATCAGGTGAGGTAGTTAACGTATCGCCACCATGATAACGTATCGCCACCAGTGGCAATACATCTTCATTATACATTGTCGTTGAAATCCATAGCTTGCAGCCAACCATACAAACCCTCAAAACATTTAATCTGACATTCATTGCAATGTTATATTAGAGCTGCCGGATGTCATCAGCATACGAGTAATGGCTGACAATAAAACTGGACATTATTTTGCCAAGCAGGATGGGTATTCAAAATAGCAAGGGGCCAAAGATGGAGCATTTGCTGGACACCTTAGTACAAATATTTATGAAAGGAAGACAGCCATTGAGTAGCACAAGCAGAATCAGGAGAGAAGTGTGGCTGATACACCTACATAACTATGGAGACACTCATTTATTGCATGACCAATCGTGTCAAAAGTAGTGGAGCGTGTTTTCGGAGAACTAGGGGAGTGATCCACAGTCTGAAGAGAGGAAAGGACCATTTCTCACTTTATAGGAGAGCAGTTTCAGTGAAACGGCTTTAGCAAAAAACAGATTGTACTGGATTGTGGTGACCAGAGAAGGAGAGGTGTACAGAGATGTGGGAGATGAATCCTTGTTAGGAGTTTTCTAAAGAAAGGGAGGTCTGAGACAGGATGGGAGCTTTCAGGGATGTTAGGCTTTAGTGTGGGGGATTTTTCACGATGGGAGTGACAACATCACCTTGAGAGCTAAGGGAATGGTACCAGATAAGATGAGGGCATTAGCGATTTTTATTATGCATGTTGCCAGGGCAGGCAAACAGCTCGGGATGAGTTTGGTGCAAAGAGGATTAAGTATGGAAGATAAACAATTGGTTAGAGATTATTTGTAACGTTTGCGATGACAGCATGTCAAGGATAGGTGGTGGATAATTATGAATGGATATTAATGAAATATATATTTTTTATAAATTACAAGTAAATTATTGTCATTTTATTTAAATTCATGCAAATCCATGGAATATCATATGTTGCAGACATACCATGCCAATCTCTTGCGTCACTCCTTCTCCATAACGAATGTTGGAGCATGCCATCTGAAGAGAAAAACAAAGAAAAAGCACTGTTTATCACATCTTACAAAGACAAATCTGCCGAAGTTATGCTACAAAGGGGTTTACAAATCTTGTTTTAAAAAAAAAAACGCTTCACAACCTTTGGTTTTAATGTAAAGCATATATTTAGGATGTTCCTACAATCACATCTGGTAAAGGTGCAGGAATCTTATCGGATCTCAGAAGGTAAGCAGTTATTTGGGCCAAAGGTGACGGGCGGAGCTAGAGAGTATGTGCGAGAACAGTCGAGAAGGTTCTACGAGGGGGCGTGTCCGGAGGCGGAGCTAGAGAGTACGTGCAAGAACGGTCGAGAAGGTTCTACGAGGGGGCGTGTCCGGAGGCGGAGTTTGCTCCGCCGAGGGGAATATAAGGGGAGGCAGTGAGGGGACTCTTGGTCGGTGTGGGAAGCCTGGAGTCCGGACTGCGTCATCGCCACCGGCCACGTGGCGGTCCTTCCAGCGAAGCCGTCTCTCCCTCCGGCACGCCGTGAGCCAGCGGTGGACAGGGAGCGAGAGGGAGAGACGCGCGACGACGGTGGAGCAGAGAGGCGCACGTCACGGCAGAGAGAGAGAGAGCGGAGCCATCCGGAGAGAGAGAGCGGAGCTGTGCAGTCATATAAGAAAGACGACACGTCAACAGTTGTCGTGGAAGTGCTTTATTACACTTGTATGGTTGACGACCTTGGCCTGCAAGATTGTATAGGCATGGCACTGCGAGGTGGCCAGGAGATGGCAGTGATGGGAGCTATCCCCTCACAAGTGTGTGCCTTCTCCAGGTACTCTCGTTTCCTCCCACACTTAGTCACCCGTAAATGATAATGGATAAACATCCCAACATAGGAAACCCCTTAAATCCAAAAATCATTTACTGTACTGATCCCCATACCTCACCTCAAAGGCATAATCTGTCTGCCTCTTGCTTGCTTCTGCTGTAACACAAAATCACGCCAATTCATAATTAACCATGTTGTACAAATTATAAGTGAAGCAAAAAAAACGCTGGACTCAACCACCACATCTGATAGTAAAGTGAGTGTGAATGCCATATTTTACCCTACCTGTTGCAGTGTGAATGCCATATTTTACCCTACCTGTTGCAGTGTGAATGCTGTATTCGTTACCCTACCTGTTGCAGTGTGAATGCTGTATTCATTACCCTACCTGTTGCAGTGTGAATGCTGTATGCGTTACCCTACCTGTTGCAGTGTGAATGCTGTATTCATTACCCTACCTGTTGCAGTGTGAATGCTGTATTCGTTACCCTACCTGTTGCAGTGTGAATGCTGTATTCATTACCCTAACTGTTGCAGTGTGAATGCTGTATGTGTTACCCTACCTGTTGCAGTGTGAATGCTGTATGCGTTACCCTACCTGTTGCAGTGTGAATGCTGTATTCATTACCCTACCTGTTGCAGTGTGAATGATGTATGCGTTACTCTACATGTTGCAGTGTGAATGCCGTATTCGTTACCCTACCTGTTGCAGTGTGAATGTTGTATTAATTACCATACCTGTTGCAGTATGAATGCTGTATTCGTTACTCTACCTGTTGCAGTGTGAATGCTGTATGTGTTACCCTACCTGTTGCAGTGTGAATGCTGTATTCGTTACCCTACCTATTGCAGTGTGAATGCTGTATGCGTTACCCTACCTGTTGCAGTGTGAATGCTGTATGCGTTACCCTACCTGTTGCAGTGTGAATGCTGTATGCGTTACCCTACCTGTTGCAGTGTGAATGCTGTATTCGTTACCCTACCTGTTGCAGTGTGAATGCTGTATTCGTTACCCTACCTATTGCAGTGTGAATGCTGTATGCGTTACCCTACCTGTTGCAGTGTGAATGCTGTATGCGTTACCCTACCTGTTGCAGTGTGAATGCTGTATTCGTTACCCTACCTGTTGCAGTGTGAATGCTGTATTCGTTACTCTACCTGTTGCAGTGTGAATGCTGTATGTGTTACCCTACCTGTTGCAGTGTGAATGCTGTATGTGTTACCCTACCTGTTGCAGTGTGAATGCTGTATGTGTTACCCTACCTATTGCAGTGTGAATGCTGTATGTGTTACCCTACCTATTGCAGTGTGAATGCTGTATGCGTTACCCTACCTGTTGCAGTGTGAATGCTGTATGCGTTACCCTACCTGTTGCAGTGTGAATGCTGTATGCGTTACCCTACCTGTTGCAGTGTGAATGCTGTATTCGTTACCCTACCTGTTGCAGTGTGAATGCTGTATTCGTTACTCTACCTGTTGCAGTGTGAATGCTGTATGTGTTACCCTACCTGTTGCAGTGTGAATGCTGTATGTGTTACCCTACCTGTTGCAGTGTGAATGCTGTATGTGTTACCCTACCTGTTGCAGTGTGAATGCTGTATGCGTTACCCTACCTGTTGCAGTGTGAATGCTGTATTCGTTACCCTACCTGTTGCAGTGTGAATGCTGTATGTGTTACCCTACCTGTTGCAGTGTGAATGCTGTATGTGTTACCCTACCTGTTGCAGTGTGAATGCTGTATGTGTTACCCTACCTGTTGCAGTGTACGCATGGGAATGGGCAGGACAGCGACACCTGTTGGTCATCGACACTGAAATTAAACAGCAGCTTAACTTATGACAAGTGTAGTGGCATAGAATAGTAATGTAGCAGCATAGCGCTGGCTGCTGGCAGGTAAGGGGATCTGCGGCTTACGGCAGTCGTGAAATTTTTATTTTATTATGTTTTATTATTATTTTATTATTTCCCTTCTACGTGACTTTGCTAAATCAGGTTGTTACGACTTGGATCGGGGCAGTGCAGAAACAAATCCATTGTGCTGCACTTCTATGCTTCCGCGTCTTTGCTCCAGGCAGTTTCACCAACCCGCACTGACCAGCATGGTGACGTTTGGTCGAATAAACCCCAATAACCCGCAATGAGGGATGGAGTGCACGACCACATTACTCTTGCAGAGATTTTGCATTGTTGGCATTTAGGCTGTGAAATGCAACGTTGGACCACACCAGCCACAGCACAACGTAATTGTTGTTAAACATGTGAATACAGTCGCTCCCAAATTAAAATAAATAAATAACAAATATAACAAACTCCTGTCTATAAAATTACATTTGGTGATGCTGCTCCCACTACTGTTGCGTTGGCAGTGGTGCAAAGCAAAATTAACAAGAGCAAAAACAGCTCTGTAGCCTTAAAATAAAATATATGATCGCTAACGTTTCAGGCAATGGCCCATCTTCATGAAGGCCCATTGCAGTGTTGGTGGCGAGGGTGTTGCGTGATTTGTTTATATCAAGATCACAATGCACCTCATTGTCCAGTGAAAAGCTGCAACTTGGCATTCAGTGTGAAAGTTAACACAGAGGGGCTCAATGTGTCTCTGACCCATCTACTTTTCTGTGTAATCGTTGACTTCTGTAATGTGTATATATACTGTACGTGGTCTCGTACACATTAAGTGCATCTTCATGCCTGTCAACCCCTTATCAGTGCCCTACCTTATTACAGACCGACTCAGACCATTATGGTCACCCCGTGCCCTCATAATAAATATCAACGTTCATCCTACAAAGTCCCATCGCAAGGGAGAACAATTGCCCGTATTGAAACAGCTGTACGCCGCGTGCACCTGAAAACGAAATGTCCCCTGTACAAGACGATGTGGGGTAAACCATGTGGGTTGACACCTTTTAAAACACAAATCCACCCATCACTGCGCCTCACGCGTTGCAAGTACTTTGGGGAGCCGTCACTCGCTCTTTCTTTTTTGCAAGCTTCGGGAAGTGTCAAGAAACTCCCCCCCCCCCTCAGCACAGTTCAGTTCATTGATTAGGTATAGCCCTGTGAGCCATGCGGCTCTTGAATCGGGTGAAATCGCAACAAACAAAAACATGAACAAGAAACATCTTAAAGTGACTACGCGCAACAGAAAAATCCAGGAAAAAGCAGCAAAGTCTTCTAGAAAAAGACACCGTATATCAACGCTGTGTGCAAAACAATCCAGTGGGATGAAAGTCAAACAATACCAACCATAAGACAATTTAGATTAAAGTTATCAGTCTAACGCTGTACTACAACAAACAAATATGGCTAAACCAAAACGTTTTCGAAATCACCAAAATAAAGCTATAAAAAAACAATGTAACAGTGATCATAGGAACTGTGATTCAAATTTAACAATAAACTATATACACATAACATGTACGACCAAACTTTGCAGCCGTAGCTGGCACCATGAGTCACTCCACAACAGCGGGAGTATCAGTCGGAGCATCAAAATGTTTCAATACACCTTTAAGATCAGCACACTAAATCAAAATACAGATCATACTTCGCAGCGGTCATCCGGGGTGATACATTTGATTTCAGGCCATTCTGAATAGCAGTGGCAGCTAGGGGTGTACAACTCCTCTAGAGCAGTTTTGAGTGAAGATCTCACAGGTAGCGATCCAATTTGCAGTTTATACACACACACACAGCCTCCGGCCCCTAGAATGTCGAAAGGACGCCAACTTCAAAAGGGGAAAAACTTACGAAGCTAGCCGCAGCGCCTTGAGCAACTGCACGACCTGATCGACCCTCAATGTCACAGCCATGGCCGGCGGCCCTTGCAAAAGCGAACGCGGCAGCGTCGTCGGCGGCGGCGGCGGAACAGAAAGTGGCTCGGGAAGAATGCCAGGAACGGTGGTGCTGGTTGGAGAGTGGGAAAAAGAAACCCCCCCCCCCACCACCTCCCACCACCTCCCACCACGAGACTTCATTGGCTAGTTGAGTGGAAGGTCACAGAGTGTTGGGGGGGCGGGGGTTTGGGTGAAAGTTGTTGTTGAATTGAGGGGGGGGTTGTGGTGGGCAAATGTGTCGGTGTGCATGGCAGTCGAAATCAGCAGATGGACTGCATGAAATTTGTACAGGATACCCACCGGATTACAGCCTGCCTGGGCAGGATGTAATCCTGTAATTGTAAACAGCATCTTGCCAGCGGTGACCAGTTATCCATGAGTTTGTGTTTGAGCGTTGTCTGCGATTATCGCAAGGTCAATTTCCCAGAGCTAACAAAACAAACCAATGGTAAAAAAACAACAACATTGAACTGGTGTTGGGGAAACATTTGTAAACATTACTCAAATGGGTATTACACACAGCAGCGTGGCCACACTGCTGCAACATCTTAGCCAGGTCTCGCCTTACAAAAAGTCTTAAGACTCAAGTGAGGCTTTCCTGGGTAAACAAGTGTAATCATAATAATACATTGTATTTGACATTGTTCTGTTATTATATGTGCTGTGCTATGCAAACTACTGTAACACAAATACGTACATTTTTCCGAAAAGTTTTTTTCAAACTGCAGTTCACTCGACATAAAACTTGACACAATTGTTCAACCCATCGTGAATTCCCAGTCTACATCTCTAAACAATGCACAATTTTGTCGGCTATACAAGAAATGAGCTCCAAATGAATGACTTCACATAGACGACATGCTGTCAATAACTCTGAAAAACGATTTGCAAAGCCATACTTTTACCAAAAATAGCTCTGCATGAACAAAATTAACTGGCGAGTTTGTTATTGCAGAAATATGTTGTCAGGAAATAAAACTGAAAACTACATTTGAGCAGCGATAATATGCAGTAACAGTATTTTAAAAAAAATGGATATGAAGCAGTACTGTATAGCAATATCGTAGCAACCTTGGGTTATTTTTGGATGTTTATAGATTTCAAAAATGTATTGATAATGTATATAGTTGTTAAGTATACGTATTTATAGTATGTTGTACCCAACTTACATTGTAATGGTCTCACAAACCGCAAGGTGTTTTTTTACATCTATTTTTTGTAGTTATTTATGAACACTCTTTCCCAATTGTTATGCATAAAACTTTTTTTTAGCCAGGTCTCTCTTGAAAAATAGGCTAGCAGTATGTACCATATGTATGTGTAACTTCTTTGACACCTTACGTATTCAGTATGCACCATATGTATGTGTAACTTCTTTGACACAGTATGTACCATATGTATGTGTAACTTCTTTGACACCTTTCGTAGCCAGTATGTACCATATGTATGTGTAACTTCTTTGACACCTTTCGTAGCCAGTATGTACCATATGTATGTGTAACTTCTTTGACACCTTACGTATTCAGTATGCACCATATGTATGTGTAACTTCTTTGACACCTTACGTAGCCAGTATGTACCATATGTATGTGTAACTTCTTTGACACCTTACGTAGCCAGTATGTACCATATGTATGTGTAACTTCTTTGACACCTTACGTATTCAGTATGTACCATATGTATGTGTAACTTCTTTGACACCTTACGTATTCAGCATGTACCATATGTATGTGTAACTTCTTTGACACCTTACGTATTCAGTATGCACCATATGTATGTGTAACTTCTTTGACACCTTACGTATTCAGTATGCACCATATGTATGTGTAACTTCTTTGACACAGTATGTACCATATGTATGTGTAACTTCTTTGACACCTTTCGTAGCCAGTATGTACCATATGTATGTGTAACTTCTTTGACACCTTTCGTAGCCAGTATGTACCATATGTATGTGTAACTTCTTTGACACCTTACGTATTCAGTATGCACCATATGTATGTGTAACTTCTTTGACACCTTACGTAGCCAGTATGTACCATATGTATGTGTAACTTCTTTGACACCTTACGTAGCCAGTATGTACCATATGTATGTGTAACTTCTTTGACACCTTACGTATTCAGTATGTACCATATGTATGTGTAACTTCTTTGACACCTTACGTATTCAGCATGTACCATATGTATGTGTAACTTCTTTGACACCTTACGTATTCAGTATGCACCATATGTATGTGTAACTTCTTTGACACCTTACGTAGCCAGTATGTACCATATGTATGTGTAACTTCTTTGACACCTTACGCATTCAGTATGTACCATATGTATGTGTAACTTCTTTGACACCTTACGTATTCAGTATGTACCATATGTATGTGTAACTTCTTTGACACCTTACGTATTCAATATGTACCATATGTATGTGTAACTTCTTTGACACCTTACGTAGCCAGTATGTACCATATGTATGTGTAACTTCTTTGACACCTTACGTATTCAGTATGTACCATATGTATGTGTAACTTCTTTGACACCTTACGTAGCCAGTATGTACCATATGTATGTGTAACTTCTTTGACACCTTACGTATTCAGTATGTACCATATGTATGTGTAACTTCTTTGACACCTTACGTATTCAGTATGTACCATATGTATGTGTAACTTCTTTGACACCTTACGTATTCAGTATGTACCATATGTATGTGTAACTTCTTTCACACCTTACGTATTCAGTATGTACCATATGTATGTGTAACTTCTTTGACACCTTACGTATTCAGTATGTACCATATGTATGTGTAACTTCTTTGACACCTTACGTATTCAGTATGCACCATATGTATGTGTAACTTCTTTGACACATTACGTAGCCAGTATGTACCATATGTATGTGTAACTTCTTTGACACCTTACATAGCCAGTATGTACCATATGTATGTGTAACTTCTTTGACACCTGACGTATTCAGTATGTACCATATGTATGTGTAACTTCTTTGACACCTTACGTATTCAGTATGTACCATATGTATGTGTAACTTCTTTGACACCTTACGTATTCAGTATGTACCATATGTATGTGTAACTTCTTTGACACCTTACGTATTCAGTATGTACCGTATGTATGTGTAACTTCTTTGACACCTTACGTAGCCAGTATGTACCATATGTATGTGTAACTTCTTTGACACCTTACGTATTCAGTATGTACCATATGTATGTGTAACTTCTTTGACACCTTACGTATTCAGCATGTACCATATGTATGTGTAACTTCTTTGACACCTTACGTATTCAGTATGCACCATATGTATGTGTAACTTCTTTGACACCTTACGTAGCCAGTATGTACCATATGTATGTGTAACTTCTTTGACACCTTATGCATTCAGTATGTACCATATGTATGTGTAACTTCTTTGACACCTTACGTATTCAGTATGTACCATATGTATGTGTAACTTCTTTGACACCTTACGTATTCAATATGTACCATATGTATGTGTAACTTCTTTGACACCTTACGTAGCCAGTATGTACCATATGTATGTGTAACTTCTTTGACACCTTACGTATTCAGTATGTACCATATGTATGTGTAACTTCTTTGACACCTTACGTAGCCAGTATGTACCATATGTATGTGTAACTTCTTTGACACCTTACGTATTCAGTATGTACCATATGTATGTGTAACTTCTTTGACACCTTACGTATTCAGTATGTACCATATGTATGTGTAACTTCTTTGACACCTTACGTAGCCAGTATGTACCATATGTATGTGTAACTTCTTTGACACCTTACGTATTCAGTATGTACCATATGTATGTGTAACTTCTTTGACACCTTACGTATTCAGTATGTACCAGATGTATGTGTAACTTCTTTGACACCTTACGTAGCCAGTATGTACCATATGTATGTGTAACTTCTTTGACACCTTACGTAGCCAACCGTGCTATTCGGAGTTGCGGGGGGAAGGTCAACAAACTAAACACAAATAAGTTCTATAGAAATAGGTTTTCAAACTAGACTGTCATAAATTAAAGATACTACTATAATACAACATGTCTATAGCGTTAAATCTGTTTTCTGATGAGTGTATAGAAATAATATTACCAACAACTTAATTACATTGTGTGTGCATTTTGTCTTGCCATGGCATGTATTAGTATGCTGATGAAAAGAGCACGTTTCGATCGCTGTATTGGATAAGAAAAGACGAAAGCATTAAGAAGCCGTCCAGGCGAGATCTCTGCATCTGACAAATGACACTGTCCACTTAAAACATTGGTAAAGGTCGCCTCCCCATCAATTGAGACATGTGCTATGCGAATTTTCTAAATATTTTGCCTTTGAAAATAACTTATTCGCTCAATGGGCCTTACTAATATAAACTGACATGTATCCAGTATCCTTTATTTAATCAGGGGATTATATTTCGATTGCAGGGATTCATATTCTTGGTTTCTTTCGGTAAAGTCACGTAGAAGGGGAAATCATGTTTTATTTTTATTATTTCCCTTCTACGTGACTTTACCGAAAGAACCAAGAATACAGGAGATTATATATGCGCTACTGTAACCCCACTTTGACACGTAAAACATTGCCTCTTTTGTTAAGGCGTAGCCGAGTTATAAATAACACCCAACCCAAACAATGTGTGTGTTCGTTTCGGGGATTTCCCGCTTTAGATAAACGACTGTGAAATTGCATTTTCACCAGCCACACCTGCACAATTAAGCTAAAAATTGGTCCAATATTTCCATAGCATACACTTACTTCATCAAGCATATTGAGTCATATCATGCATATCAGGATGTACTGTATAAGAAAAAAACAATTTGGGTACCACAGAGTGAAACATTTGATAATGTTCTGTTTAATATACCCGTACAGTGTCCTGGTTGATGTGAAACAGGCAATCTATAGCTTGGAATTTATAATTACACAGCTCTGGCAAATTGCACATTCAGATTGAAACTTTATTTTATTCAAAAGCGCCCTTACGTTTTTCCATGAATGCATTGCACAGACACGTCCAAATTTTAGATAAGGGACCGTCCATAAATGACGTCACGCGATTTTTGACGATTTTTTACCCCCCCCCCCCATCGTCACAAAAAGTCAGACCCCCCCCCCCCACTCAAATATGACGTCACAAAGCTCTGCCCCCCCCCCAAATAAAACATGCTTCAAATCGCTTTAAACTATTGTCATTGTAGTGCGTATTTAATGTGGCGCTGCACTCTGATGTTGTAGGAGAAAACATTTATTAAAAAGTCTATTTAATTAAGTAGAACGTGTTGTCTCCTAGGTGCGTGACGTCATTTATGGTCGGCCCCTAACCATAACCAGTAACGTGCATGTCTAGAATATATCCATATGCAAAAATTAAATGAAAAACATTGTTACGAATAATCTTTCATGCATGGCTAATGTAAATAAGTAAAATAAATGCAGGTTATATTATTACCTTTATGGGTCAGGCTGAACAACCACATGCAACAATGTACGGGCAAGCAGTGCATTGCCATGGTGTGGCTTATCCTCTTGCAGCTGTACTCTACCCTGATTGTATGCACGCATACTCTCATACTATATACAGTAAAACCTTGGATTGCGAGTAACTTGGTCTGCGAGTGTTTTGCAAGACGAGCAACATTTTTAAATACATATTATTTTGATAAACCAGCGAGGGTCTTAGCAATACGAGTAGTACGTATACGCTTTGTCTGCCGAGCGTCACGTGATCACAACTGACACACGAGTGCTTTGATATACGAGTGCTTTGGATTACAAACACGTTTCCGGAACAAATTATGCTCGCAATCCAAGGTTTTATCTACTTACACATTCCTCATTGCTTACCCACAACATGTAACAATTTAACATTCAGCATTGTAATGTCCAATATAAAGTAGCGACACGTATTAAGCCAACGTTATGGTTGAATTTTTTGCGTGAATCTTGTAACTGCAATATGCTTCAAAAATAAAAAATAAACCATTGGACAGTCGACACAAATTAGAGACCTTACGTTGCACCGCGTCCATACCAAATGCGTCACTCAATCGTGGTGCTGACGCCAAATATCCCTTTGTCACGCTGGTTCCACGTGCTCTCAGCAGAATCACCAGCAGGCATCATTTACGCCGTGTGTTTGCATTGAGAGTAAGGCGACGTCTGGTATTCACTTTGCATAGCTATTGCGGTTTTTCTAAATTGACAGCACACATTTGTTACATTCTAGATTTGAAGCTTTCGTGGCTGCAAGGATTCATACTCTTTGGTTTCATTCGGTAAAGTCACGTAGGTAAAACGAATTAAAATCAAATAAACAATTAAAACACGACGTTTCGGAGGCAACGCAAGCTTCCGTCTTCAGGTGGGACCAGTCACAGCCAGAATCGCTGCACCACCTGAAGACGGAAGCTTGCGTTGCCTCCGAAACGTCGTGTTTTAATTGTTTATTTTATTTTACTTCGTTTTACCTACGTGACTTTACCGAATGAAACCAAAGAGTATACATTTGTTACAGTTGTAGCATTATATTAGCGTAACAGATTTATCAATGTATGAAACCGTAAAGCGTGGTTTTCTTCCCGCTATCCAAACCACAGGACTATATTTTTACATATTTCCCTGTTTGAAAATCTATTGCATGTTAATATGCCTTGTAGGTGACAAGTAAACATTTCATTGCAAGCTGGAAGTGGGTAAGTGCAGTTAATGTAAGGCATGATTAACAATGCCATTATAGAGATGTGTTAAACAACACTTACATTTCCTTTGCTGATGTAAAAGCCTTATAGATACCCCACACATTTAAAAACACACTCTTCCTTTCATCTTAACGGGTGATTGAATACTCGATTGTAAACGTGATGGCTACATTAAACAATGTAAATTAGGAGATATTTAAAACAACGTAATAGCTGTAACAGTATTGAGATTGACGGGAGAATTCAAATGTATCACATTGGCTGCTAATTGTTTTCAGAAGCAGGTTTGAGGCCAGTGTAAAGGTTTTTTTTCTCTAAGGATAGAATATACTGTACAGGATGATCCAATTAGAGATACACCACTAAAATATTCGGGATACATTAGAAAAAAACATTTGAATTCTCCCGTCAATCTCAATACCGTTACAGCTATCACATTGTTTTAAATATCTCCTAATTTACTTTGTTTCATGTAGCCATCACGTTTACAATCGAGTATTCAATCGCCCGTTAAGAAGAAAGGAAGAGCGTGTTTTGAAATATGTGGGGTATCTATAAAATGGATTGCCATGTACTTTCAATGCCATTTTGACACATGTCTGAATTAAGAGCGGCTTGCGTTGGGGAGAGTTCGCCTCCTTCTTACGTATGGATTCGCAAGTCGTCCTCCTACAAAACATTCAGGAAAACATAAACGTCAATTTTTACTAAACCAACGTGTTCATTTCAGTAACATTTTACCTCCCAAATGTAAAAACATTAAAATTGACTGGCTGTAGAAAATGAAAACATCGCTGTTAAATATGAAAAGTTAATGGGATGTCAAAGTTGACGTACTGCATCGTACCGTTTATTAGATCACCAGGCAATCGGTTCTACAAAAAAAGAATTACGTCAGCGTTCGGTCAACATTGAAACCCATGTATACCTCTTCTCAAAGAAATCGATTATATTTCTGCACATATAACATTAAAATGATTTTACTTCTTACTTACAGGTATGATATATTTCTTCAAGAATATTCGTAAAGCTTGGATTACCTTTGAGTGTGAAAGGAAAATGGGTTTAATGCATTCAACATTGTATCAGGGCTTTTAATATCTGAACATAGTGTCTCATGATAAGTTCTTGTGGCCATCCCAGTGAATATAATTAGGCAGATTTATCCACAACTTTCTATCAAAATTGTGTAGCATACTGCAACAAAGTCCAACACAATGCCACCATATCTCTGTAAAAATGAGTTCATGTCACCTGAACAAGATCAATTCCTGGACTGTCTAGAGTCAAATCCGGAGAGGTGGCAACTCTACCTGGTTCCCTCCATCACCAACCTGCACCGACTAAAGTGGTGAAGTATGGTCAAGCAATCATATGGCCGACAGCGCTGTGATGCTTTCATCCAGCATTGGATTAACAAAGGGCTCAATATCATTACTGTACCTTGTTTTCGGGTGACAATGAAATTGACTCACTTGTGAACATTGTGATTAATCATACAATACTTTATATACATCCACATATGTACATTATGTACATTACACAGCATTGTACAGTGTAAGTGATGCGAGGTTGCATCGGAACACTACATCAAATACAAATCGTTTCAATATTAACATTATTATTACTTGCTTACCTTGTCGTTCCACAGCACTTCAATGATTAGGATAAATAATCCCTACAAATGAAATAAAATTACTGTAATCAGTCTTTTTTTATCCAATGTAAATACAGTGTTTATTAACTGATGTATGAATCAACCAATACTTCTGTTCAAGAACCTGTTTTGGTGGTGGAGTGCGCAGTTCAAAATCAGGTTGCGAGTTCAAATTGTAGTCAGAGGTTAACTCAGCCCTTTATCCCCCTGGGGTTTATATAAACGCGTATCACTTTGAGGTTGACCGATGGAAAGACTCCCTCCCACCAGAGAAATGTTGAATTCCCACATCTGGCTTAGCGTTGTAAATAGGAGTGGGATAATGATATTCAGATGAGAGGGGAAAACACTTTGACTTTTACTTTTTGTTTAACTTTGCAAAGTACAGCAATTTGATTCATTAATACTATTACCTGTAGAGCGTTGAGCACACTGAAGATGTAATGGAATGCTATTGGACTCTTCTTGTCCAAGGTGAAAATTCCAATTCCCCATGTAAGCCCCAAAATGAACGGGAGGACTGTGATGGTCTTTAGGATCCGTATAATATTCCCCGTAGTGCCGGAACCATTCACCCTTGTCACTGGCCCATTCCTCAGCAACTTAAAAAGCACAACGAGTCCAATGAGCATGTTGATGCCGATGATGGTGAGGGCTGGCACAACGAAAGCCAGGAGGGCACGAGAATTGTACCATTGAAGCCAGCAGGCGTTTTCACTGACATATCCACGTGGATAGGTTACTGCTATGGTGACAATGGCCACTGCAAGGGGACATCCATAGCCGACGAGCACCAGAAACCGTTTTACGTGACGTTTCTTCATGATGGGGAATATAAAGTGTACAGAGCAAAACAAACCGATGGCCTTGCAGAGTGTTAAAAAGAATAGGGCCAAGTAAAAAAAATGGGCAATAAAGACGGCAGCATGGCATAGCATTGTATTTTGTTTTCTCGCCTTTGCTGAGGCAATGATAAACCAGACGTCAGCACATAAGAGTGACACGCAGACGTTGACTAGAACGATGTGCCGTGCGTATTTGGTGAGGTCACTCTTGATGATCTTCCAGACAAGGGCCTCGAGAAAAATTGCAATGATCAGGCTGATGATGGATATTCCAATACATACATAGGTGATAATCGACAAGGTATTCGAGCAGGTATCCTTCGATGAGAAAAGTGTGCTGAAAGACGTCAGGTGACCACACTCGCATATTGTGAAGCTGGCCGTCGACTCGAGCATGGTGCATCCGTTGGTGTTCCAGCCTCCCGTGCCTTTTGCTGTGGCGATGTTATAGTCCCAAAATGCACATGTTGGCTCAGTCTCGTCTGGGGCGTACAGTGTAGACATGTTCAAGACGATACTCTTGTTGCCTTGTGCATTGTCAACAATGGCCATTATGAAGCTGTTGATGTTGTACGGGTTATTACACGGCAGAGACATGCCGATCCTCATCGGTAAGATTTGCGACAGGCTTGTAAATAGAATGCTATTGATGGAGACTGGGCCTGCAGTGTTGATCCCTTGATAGGAGACCAAGACGCTGCTGTTTTCAAATGTAAAGGGGATGGGGTTGCGGGTGTTAATGTTGAGTACGTTTCCCTTGAGCATGATGTTGCTTTTTCTTATGGAGGAATTTGTTGAAAAGAATGTTGCATATCTTTCAATGGACCTCAACAGGCTTGAGCTGTCTGATAAGCCTTCCTTTGCAATTTGGTCCCATGATTTTTTCAGTGTTATATTTAAGATGTTGCTGGACGCTGTCAAAAAATCCTGCAAATATATGCACAAATATCCATCGGATGTTTTAAGTGTTCAGCATACAAGATCAACATTGGTATGTATGGATGAGATGCACCTCGCAAAATGTACATACTTTTTTGCAATTACTGTTATTTGATGCGCTACTTGCTGGTGGCATGGCCGCCGCTAGAGAAAGGGCACTAAAGGGCCCTTTCTAAGATAATATTTGTCTCACTCTTCCACGCCGGCTATAGGTGTGTAGGAAGAAGTCGGGGAAGCCACACTTGCAGAGCACCACGTGCGACCTGCCGATCAATTGTGGTCTACCGATTTACTGGGGGATTTCAGACACCCGTCCAATGTTTCAGCTGCCATGCCAGGAGATGGAACGGTGACCTCTTCATTGTAAGTTTGGCGTGTCAACGATTTGACCATGGCAGCATCTCCAGCATAAGTACAATTACATAATTGTGCGCGGTTTTTTGGCATTTGTTACAGTAATCTGCTTTAATGTCGTGTTTTATTTATTTATGGTATGCTTGTGTGCGCTTACATTAGCCGTTGCACACAAAAAACTGAGCACAGCTTTGCTAAAGCTTCAGTTGTGCTCGTAGTTTTGCATATTAATGTTTTACATGGCTGCGTGTCAGGAAGGAAACCGGCTTCTGACAACGATAAATGGTGATTGTGATGAGAGAAAAAAATATACGCTGATGGTTGTGAGATTGTGCAATGTTTAAGGGCAACATTAAGTCATGTGGATATCATGTCTGCTTGAGGACGCAGATGTGCAAAGGCATTTACATCCATATTTTGCAAAGTGATGTTTGCGGGGGTGCTAGATGTATTTTCTGTGGTAGCTTTGCTGATGATTTCTAATATGTTGGCGGACGCATGCAGGTCTCCATTGTAGAAATTGCCGTTTGGTGTAATCGTTGTAGCATTCGTCAGCAAACTCAGAATGACTGTCGCCCTCTTGTGCACATCTCCGTAAGCCAGGAGAACCTATAAAGGGACAATATCATACAATCAGGTAATGAATATGGAAGAACGTATTATTGGTGTTTTAACAACTTAACACGTATATTCTTGGTTCTTTCGGTAAAGTCACGTAGAAGGGAAACAATAAAATAGTAAAAATATAAAACAATAAAATTCTCACGACGTTTTGACTGCAACACAAGCAATCATCATCAGGTGTGAAAACCACAGCAAGGAAAATTTGAAAAAAAATCGAAACGTCGTGAGAATTTTATTGTTTTATATTTTTATTATGTTATTGTTTCCCTTCTACGTGACTTTACCAAAAGAACCAAGAATATGAATCCCTGCAGTCACGAAAGCTTTAAATCAAAACTTAACACCTGTTTTGTTGCCAGATAAAAAGGGGAAAACCCTATTCTCAACTTATTATCACTTTAACAAAATGGAGGTAATGATTAGTCAATTAGATTATACAGTGTTTTAGGCTACCAATACAATGCATTGAGATTACATGCAGTCAATAACAACATTGACGATTCGTACATGTAGGGCGGTGACGCTGTGGTCGGTGCACCTCGTCCTAAAATATGATGACGTTAACACAACGAGCCATGATCACAAATCAGCGTCCATAAATGTGTGAACCGGTCCCGAGTTCTCCACCTTTGCCAACCCGCAGTTAAGTTTTGGTCCCAACAACCCCTCCCCCCCCCATCCAAATTCCCGGGACACGTTGTGGACAATGCCTTAACCTGCCAATGGATTGACTAAAGGGCATTGACTTGAAGACGTTGCATGGGACGGTTTCGTGGGAGCCCTCCGTCGCAAGCGCCATGCTAAATTGTGACTCTGAATCATGACAACTTCTGGAGAGAGTGAATATTAAATTGGCGATTCTGAATGTAACGAATTAGTGATTAATCCATTACAATGAATTCTCAATATTCCAATACACGCATCGATTCAATTATTTCGAATGTGTATTTTTGTTGTATTCAACAACTTTACAGTGTGCACATTTACAATATACATGTACATGCATATTGATTATAGAGAACCCCATAGTCATTGAAATTATATATACTAACATTTTGGACACATAGGTCTGAAAAAACTATTCTCTTGGGTGTAACACAGAATCAGAAGCAGTTCATTGGAATGATTCCAGCTTTAGGCTCTTCACAGTGAAACACAGACGAACGCTTAATGCATGTTGCAATCGCGTAGCAGCAATGTGTTATGAAATGCATTCAGGTACAATTAGTGAAGTGTACGTGTACCTTTGACATCTCGACAAGCTTCTTGAACACGGGAGATGTGCAGTTGTATATCTCGTCTCCCCACTGGCCACCTGAGCCACACTGACGCTGAACAGAGCCCTCATATCCAACCGGACACTTTTGTCGTTCAATGTTACCTTCAGCAGTGGCAGACCACGACCCATTGCGGGAACACTCCCCAAGTCCTTTTGCCATCAAAAATTAAAGCGAAGAAATGTTACGTGTTGTCACGGCGGATACTACAACGTGCAGCCATTATTGAAAGAAAAAAAAACACTGAATGTTACATTGTGTGTACCCAAAAGCGGGTATACAATTTAGATTTCAATTGTTAATTGTCCACAGTGTCGCGCTGTTGCTTATTACCAGAGATAGTCAATACCACGCCTTACATTTGGGAAATATTCTCCATCACATGCACGGTAAAAATGATGAGAAGTGTTGAATAACCAGTTAATGTAAAATATTATTCACTGCCAGCTATCCAATCCGTGGTACAGTGAGGGAAAAAAAGTATTTGCTCCCTGCTGATTTTGTACGTTTGCCCACTGACAAAGAAATTATCAGTCTATAATTTTAATGGTAGGTTTATTTGAACAGTGAGAGACAGAATAACAACATAAAAAAAACAGAAAAACGCATGTCAAAATTTTTATAAATTGATTTGCATTTTATTGAGGGAAACAAGTATTTGACCCCCTCACAATCAGAATGATTTCTGGCTCCCTTTAAGAGTGTGCTCCTAATCTCAGCTCGTTACCTGTATAAAAGACACCTGTCCACAGAAGCAATCAATCAATCAGATTCCAAACTCTCCACCATGGCCAAGACAAAAGAGCTCTCCAAGGATGTCAGGGACAAGACTGTAGACCTACACAAGGCTGGAATGGGCTACAAGACCATTGCCAAGCAGCTTGGTGAGAAGGTGACAACAGTTGGTGCGATTATTCGCAATTGGAAGAAACACAAAAGAACTGTCAATCTCCCTCGGCCTGGGGCTCCATGCAAGATCTCACCTCGTGGAGTTGCAATGATCATGAGAACGGTGAGGAATCAGCCCAGAACTACACGGGAGGATCTTGTCAATGATCTCAAGGCAGCTGGGACCATAGTCACCAAGAAAACAATTGGTAACACACTACGCCGTGAAGGACTGAAATCCTGCAGCGCCCGCAAGGTCCCCCTGCTCAAGAAAGCACATATACATGCCCGTCTGAAGTTTGCCAATGAACATCTGAATGATACAGAGGACAACTGGGTGAAAGTGTTGTGGTCAGATGAGACCAAAATGGAGCCCTTTGGCATCAACTCAACTCGCCGTGTTTGGAGGAGGAGGAATGCTGCCTATGACCCCAAGAACACCATCCCCACTGTCAAACATGGAGGTGGAAACATTATGCTTTGGGAGTGTTTTTCTGTTAAGGGGACAGGACAACTTCACCGCATCAAAGGGACGATGGACGGGGCCATGTACCGTCAAATCTTGGGTGAGAACATCCTTCCCTCAGCTAGGGCATTGAAAATGGGTCGTGGATGGGTATTCCAGCATGACAATGACCCAAAACACACGGCCAAGGCAACAAAGGAGTGGCTCAAGAAGAAGCACATTAAGGTCCTGGAGTGCCCTAGCCAGTCTCCAGACCTTAATCCCATAGAAAATCTGTGGAGGAAGCTGAAGGTTCGAGTTGCCAAACGGCAGCCTCGAAACCTTAATGACTTGGAGAAGATCTGCAAAGAGGAGTGGGACAAAATCCCTTCTGAGATGTGTGCAAACCAGGTGGCCAGGTACAAGAAACGTCTGACCTCTGTGATTACCAACAAGGGTTTTGCCACTAAGTACTAAGTCATGTTTTGCAGAGGGGTCATATACTTATTTCCCTCATTAAAATGCAAATCAATGTATAACATTTTTGAAATGCGGTTTTCTGGATTTTTTTGTTATTCTATCTCTCACTGTTCAAATAAACCTACCATTAATATTATAGACTGATCATTTCTTTGTCAGTGGGAAAACGTACAAAATCAGCAGGGGATCAAATACTTTTTTTGCCTCACTGTACATAATATACGATTCATCCCAAAAATACCGTACATATTACCTGGTAATCCTCGTCTGAAATCAATCTCAATGTTCATCTTCATCTTATTCGCCGGGTTGGAGAACTCGCATGTATAGTTCACCTTCGTATTGCTGCAGTTATTCAACTGCACCTTGTATACACTGCATTCAGTGGCCATGGAAGAGGCAGCTGCAAATAGCACGTGGTTTTAATGGACTCTTATTCTCAATCTGTTATTGACAGCCCTTAGTCAATCCGCTATTTTTGGTTTATATTTTCTCGTCCTTTCCCCCGACACCTCTGATTAGCACGGTTGACCATGTAAGGTGCAAAAGAAGTTCAACATGCAACCATACTTCACCAAGCTGGTCAGTCCAGGGAGGTGAAGGGAGAACCAGAACGACTTTAGATATCACTTGGCAATGATGTTTGCGATGGCTGGGAATTGAACTAAGGTTGTTGGGTTCATAGTGGCGTTTTGTAACCACGAGAGCACCATGACCTTAACATTTAAAAAAGTATATGAGCAAAGTTGGTGCTAATTGGGTTGACAGCACTTCCAAAGAATACACGTAGCATTAGATGGAATTTCATTTGACAACTACCATTATGCTTCGTAAACAATTATACACAGAGCTATCAATCGCAGTGATGGGAAATGCTAAAATATATAATCAGCCATTAATTCTGAATAAACATGTTTCATGATAAACTTAGGCAGCAATACTACGTGGCAAATATGTGAGAT